GCTTAGGAAGTATTAAGAGTTAGCGGGGAAGAATGGACAAAAAATGGAAAATATAAAAGAGCCCAGATGGTTGTAATTCCGGGCAAACCCAGGGTCAGTGAGAGAATAAATGTCTCTTGAACCATTGCTAGTAGCAGTACCTGTGGATAGGGTTGGTTTGGGGCTTGATGTTAAACTTTTTAATTTCTTTTTATGAAGGGGTTTGGTTCTATTAGCCCCTGAAAGTCAGTTCACCACCACCACACAAACCATCAAGCTCTCATTGATTGGATGTTGGCTGTTCTACTGTATTGTCCTGCTGAGTTGCAAGTCCTGACTTGGCTTCCTGCACTTTGCTTCCTATGCATTCAGGAATCCTCAGCCCAGTTAAGAAATCAGGTGAGCTTCTTGACCAAAATTCTTCTCAATTTTGTTAGCTTGTCCTTGAGCTTATTTTAAGTTCTTTGTCCGTGCAGCTTGAGGAATAGTGAAGTGGTACATGGGGTGAGTTGAATTAGTTACCACATACATACATGCAAAGCTAGCAGTACTTTGACAACTAATTCAATTCTTTTTCTTTTTAGGCAACAGGCATTCAATCTAGGGTATATAAACTCAGTGATTGTCTTGAAAATTACCCACTCTATTACAAAAACGACTGCAATGGCCCATATTGATTGGCACCAGATTCAAGTGCATCAAAAAGAAATAATTCTAGAACAATTCCAAGTCTTATTATGGTGGGTTCCATTGGTAGACATGGAAAGATGAAGGCTGATATTTGAAATCACAAGAAAATTGATGAAAAGTCTCTTTTCTATATTCAGGGGAAGGAATAGGTTGCCGCTTTTCAAAACCAACATGGAAGTTGATTCATTGATGTCCACTTCTGTAAATGCTGTTGTCAGCTATGTATGATTTGGGCATACCGTTGTAATTATCTTGAACCTACATTTCAGAAATATTGAGGTGAAACAGCAAAGCAGACAAGATGATCAGCCTATGAAGTATATATACCAGAGTTTGGCAGGTAGCAATGCACTCACCTGAGGGTCTGAAACCCAACCACCTGAAAGCTTACAGACTCTCCAAGGAATTTGTCAAGACCTGCAAGATTGGGAAGTTTGACTCTCAAAATTTTGTATTAATTCAATAGATAATATGCAATGTACCGTGACTTAATCCTTATATCCCTCTTCCTTTCAAATACAATTCATCCTTGCCAATCACAAATTAACAACATCAAACTTCTTGCAAGAAATTCTGTTGAACATCCAATCTTCAGCACTCTTTACGGCCTTCTTAGTGACTCTGATTGCCCCATTGAAGACGGGTGGACAGAGCAGCTTGTTATCAAACGGTTCATGGGGTCAGACAAGCACGGGTAGCACGTGCAAATTGGTCGATTTCCTACCCTCATACTCACCCCTTGCCATGCCCTCATCAAGCTGTGCCAATTCCCCCTTATCCTTATCCAAGAGTCTCACAGCCACCATTTCTAGCATGTATACCCACAACACCGCCTTGAGTACACTTAGCTTCCAGATCAATCAGTTGACTTGGCTTGTGATTGGGCTTGTCTGGAATCAGTCATCAACAAACGTGCACTGGTGCCAACAACCACCTCAGGGTGCCATAAAACTAGAGATGGCCCTGGCCCATCCGGATATCCAGCTGCTTTTTTGAGGGAAACCGCCATCCGCATCCACTGGCAGGTATCCCCCCGCCTTAATGGGTATCCAAGTGGGTATCTTCAATACCCGCCACTTGAACGGTGTGGTGAGACAAATCAAAACCTCAAGGCCTCAATGCACCGCACAATCAGGACAAGAAGACCCCAAACACATTGGTCCTCAGGCCAGACTGCAACCTCAAGGCACCCAGACCACACATGGGGGGAAGAAAAGTCACCCCTCAGACAGAGCCAGGGTATTAGGAACCCTCCTTGTTTTCTCTTGTTTCATTCTTTCTCTTTCAGGAGCTGCTGCATATGCACTCCTCTTTCTCTTATCTCTCTGTGTCACACTAATGCACCCACTTGGGGATTAGTCTCTTACCTCTATGCATGCACCTGCATGTGGCTATGCGTGTTTCAGACTTATGTACCCATTTGGGTAAGCAGGCTATGTCATTGTGACCTCTTTAGTCTTAGCAGCCCCCTTCTGGGCCATAGTTTTTCAGTTTGATATTTTTCACCTGTTCATTTTTCTCAGACCACAAGCTGGCCACTCCCCAGATTTTGTATATAAGGAGTCATGTTTTCCCCCCATCATTTGTTCCCTCATCAGTTCCCTGACGTGCTCAGCCTGGTCACTTATTTAGCTTATAGTCCTTAGTCATAGTCCTTAGAAAATAGTCCTTAGAAATAGTCCAAGAAATATTATCACGTCCTTTAGTCTAAAAATAGTCCGTCACAACTTCAGAGAGTATTTGAACTCTCCTTGTCTACTACCTTAGCACCTTTCACCAGAGGGCAGCCTTATCCACGGCGCATTTACCCTTCCATGCTCTATCTGTTCCCACCGGGTAGTTCCACAACGGTTGGAGGGGGTGGCCAACAATTGACTAGAAGGTCTTCCCCTTGTTGGCCGGAAGGAAAACCTTCCAGTTGACTGGAATCTGTGCCATAAATGAGCTGACCATGACAGATCAGGCAAGGCAATATAATGGGATGCAATCTCAAGGAGGCAACATGCCGTATGAGTCAAGTAGACACAAAGCGGGTTTCCCAAATTGCTCAGACTCTACCCTCATTAATGACATGAGAAAGAGAGACAATTGAGTAAAAGAAGTTGCCCATAGTGGAAGTTTTTCCACCCAATTGAGTGTAGACATCCTGGACACCAGTGAGTTGGAGGAGCCGGTTGCTAGCGGTGTGGTATGTCCATACCTTTCCATGTATCCTCAATTTTCACATCATTTCTACAAACATTCTTCCCAACATTATTTCATATTCAGATTCTACACATTATTTCACCCCTAGTCACCTCTTTAGAGGCTCTTACAGCTTTTCAGTACCTCTTATAGTTCTCTAGTTATCATCTCTTCAGTATATTCATAGTTACAGAACAGTACATTACTTTATACATACAGTACATATACATTACACATTATATAGTTACAGTATCTATGTAGAATCACTCAGAGCATCTCCAACGCGGGTGGCAAATCCGGGTTGTAAGCCCCGTTTACCACCCCAATTTCCAAAGCGCCTCCCCACCGCGGGCGGTATACGGGGTGGTAAGCAACATCTCGGGTCCAAAAAATGTACCGAGGTTGTAGATCTACCACTCGTGTACCACCCCAGGCACCTCTCGCGCATGTGTGAAACCAGCCATCCCGCTTGTGAAACCCCGATATGTGTAACCCTTTCACAAGCCAATGTCGCTTGCTCATCCAATCCTCAGCCAAGGTCTACAACTTTGCGGTGGCGCACCTGCCTGATCTCAGGTGGCAATTCTGGAATGCGGGTGGTAAATCCGACATTTACCACCCCGGATTTACCACCCGCGGTGGAGATGCTCTCATTCATCATGGTACATCACCATTACTACATACTACACTACATATTCAGCATAACCATAACGACATACATCAATCAGGATAACCTTAACTACATTACATCATGTACATATTTCCTTTCACACTGCTTTGACTTTCCATACCTGATTAACACTTGTATACACAGAACATCTGTCTCTTAGCTACATTATTTCTCATCACTCATTACGTGTTTAAGACTTACATTACCCATAGCCAGGATTTCCCCAGCCATGGTGCTTTGCTGTTGTATGTACATGTTGTACACATATATACTCTTTCTTCCTCCTCATGTATTTTCCCCCTTATGCTATGTACCTTGTCTGCATTATCCTCTAACCATACTCTTAGAAATCAGAAACACTAGTATCACCCTTATATCCTTACCAGATATCATTGCCAGTTATATTTGCCAGTTATACATCACCCCTTGCCAGTTATAAATCCTCAGTTGGCAGGTTATTATCCTTTGCCAGTGTCATTCCTCATTTGCCAGTATTACACCCTTGCCAGTATTATCCCCTCACACCTCCTTCCTCCTCCTCACACCTCTGATCAAGGTAATACATACACAAGCTCATCAGTAATAGTAGTCTAAGATAAAGTAGAAATCAGCCACACCTCTATTCTTCTTTTTCTTAGTGTTACACTCTTCCCATCAGCATTGTACAGGAGGGCAGCCTCATCAGCACCTGTAGTCTCAACTTACATTAGTACAAGTGTAGTTGTTTATATCCCCTCCAAGCTCTATCTCCCTGGTTGAGTAGTTCCACAGCGGGGGCGGCGATGATGCCGGTACCTTTGGTCCCCTGAGGGCCAAGAGCAATTTGAAGGATGTTAGTCCATTTCTCAACCACCTCAATATCATCTGGATCCTCTGACTTGGTACAACCTCCCTCAGAAAGATGAACAGAATGTGACAGTAACAACATCAAATGGTAGAATGTTTGTTTGCCTGGGCCGCCTTGAAGTGGTATATTGGAATTGTTGCTCATCAAGGTTGAAACCAGCTTGTTGTTTTCATTGGTCAGTTGTGGGTTGGGGCTCCACATGGAGCTGAGAGATCCGGTACAAAGTCCATATTGATTGCTGGATTGTAGTTAACAGATTCTACATTAATATGAAAACATCAAGAAAAAAAACTTAAGCAAAGTGTGTTTGCTTGTCTGTTGTATGTCATCTAATTTCCTTGTAAGCATTCCAGGGCACTGACGGATACCCGCCAGGATTCCGGGGGGAATGGCGCATCCACACCCAAATCCAAATCCCCTGGCAGGTATCCGTTGGGTCTGGCGGGTATCTTCCAGCGGATAATGGGTATCTGCCAGCAGATAACGGGTATCCACAACAAATACCCTGAGGCCATCTCTACATAAAACACTTTGAAGCCTTCTCACAAGGTCTCTCCTGAGGGTACCTATTTGAGTAATCCTGTCCCAAAGAAAACCCAAATCATAAAGATGAATCATTGGGGTTGAGGCTTGCTAAAAATGTTGGTGTGTGGCTAAACACACCAACTTTTTTTATTTTTTATTTTTTATTTTTTATTTTTTATTTTTTATTTTTTATTTTTTATTTTTTATTTTTTATTTTTATTTTTGAGTGGGGGGTTTGGGATGTAGGTGTGTGGCAGGATTTCTGGTTTCCATTGATCAAAACCCTGTTCAAAGGAGGAATTTTTTTTATCTCTATTTTTGGGAGAAGGCAGGAGATTGAAACTTGGTATGGATTTTTGTATTTTCTTTTTTTTTTCAAGGGCTTTAATTTTTTTTTTCTGATTTTTTTGAGGGATTTTAAATTTTGTGTGACTTCTTGTTTTTCTGTTCTGACTTGCTTTTGCCTTCAGAAACAACTGCTTGATTGAACCTTGAATGCATTTATTTCTCTTGATAGGAAGGAAGCTATCTCAGTTTCATTTGTCATAGAACTTCCTTCGGGGAGGAGGGTCGATCCCACATTTGGGGCAGTTCCTCTTTGGTAGCCAGTATCCTACATATTCATGGAAGCATAATGCGCAAGCCACTGTGTGCATTCCTTGCTCAATTTTATTCCTACAGTTTCCATTATGGCATACACGGTCCACATAAATTGGAATTGGGGTCTGACCACCACAATTTGATTTGGGGCAGGGAGCAAGTTTGAATGACTCGCCTGTCTGACGACAACCAGTACAGATTAAGGTAGCTGTCCCAGTTGAAGATTCAACTTCCCAGATGATGTCATTGTTTGGACAGTTTGGCTTGTGCAAGCTTGCTGAAACACCAATGAGAAATTCCAGCACCAATGGGACTATCAAGTTGATGAACCGCATCATGTAAGAGGTTGTGCAAGATGAATTGAAGCTTGGTGGGGTTTGAACAGAAAACTTGTCTGTTTTTTTTGTGAGGTGAAAGAGTGCTGAATTTAACAAGTACCCAACTAGACTACAGGGGTATGGTGAGTAGAATGAAAAAATACATATTCATAGTCTAAGACAGACTCAACAAAACAATCAGCCTGATATCACTTGTAATTAGTTATTGAATCAAAAGTAAAACCGGAATGAAATCTTGAGCAAGATTTAGTTCTCCTTAATTCAACTGCACAGCTGTGAACACCAAGTTATAGTTCTAAAAATCCCACATTTGAAAATCCAAAGAATCCTCAATCCTCTGGACTCATGGAGATTCCATGGCAAGTGTTCAAGCCTGTTAATCCATGATGTGGGTTTGGTTGGTATTAAACTATTAGGACTTGTTATGCTTCTTGATCTACAAACCAACCTCTTATGACATGTATTGGTTCCTTCAATATGACAGTGCCCATTGCTCATGGTCAGATTGAAGTGATAGGGGTGATTTAAACTTCAAACACAATCACCATTTTTTGCACCCCCCTAAATCAAAAATTGCAACAGCTTTTCTGCACAAAGCATGCAACCAATTTGGTCATGCTCTGCTAAGCCTTTGGAGGTGGGGTGGCTAATAAATGTTTTTTCCAGTTGTTCTGACAGAAAAAAAAGAAGTGTGGTATTTTCAGCAGTCAGAATTGGTTATCTGCCATGCTGGAAATTTGAAAAATTAAAGAGTTCAAAATTTACTACAAAAATAAAGGATACTGATAAATGTGCCCCCCTTTTCTGCTATCCACACCTGGTTTTTTACACCCGCTTTTCCTCTTTCAAACCCAGGGTTTCCCATCCTTTTTAGCTTATTTTTTGGGGCCTGTGAATGTGCTAAAAATGATCTGTAATTGACCATTATTTTTGGGCGTATAAAATATTAATGTATTTCTTTTCTTTTTATGAAGGGGTTTTGTTATATCAACCACTGACAGTCAGTTCACCACCACCACACCAACCATCAAGCTCTCATTGATTGGCTTTAGCTCTTCCACTGTATTTTCCTGCTGAGTCGCAAGTCCTTCCTGCACTTTGCTTCCTATGCATTCAGGAATCCTCAGCCCGGTGTGGTGAGACCAATCAAGGTCATATATAGTACAAAATAGCTATTTACAGTAGTTTTCATGTTATTACAACCAGATATACATAAGCTACATAATATATTATCTTGTATCCAGTTCAGAACATTACAAAATAGTATTTTTACACTCATTTGGCTACATATTATATGGTACTACCTAGCTACAACATACTACATAATCACACATCTCATCATACAAATTAGTCTTCCCTCAGTACCTTCTTTCTATGATAACAATCTTCCAGTAAATGTTATTTATTTCATCTCAGATACCACTTAGTCAGACTACACATATTATTTCATCCCATACTCCTGCTTTCTCATCTCAGATATTGTCATCTCATCTCACTCATCATCCACTTCTTTTCATACATCAATTACTTCATTCTACATTTATTTTATTCTACATTTAGTTCATACTACAAGTATTTCATTCTTACATTCCATTTCAAACTCAATACACATGGCTTATATCACCTACATTCTCATCATACATCTCATTTCAAATCATTACTCATTGCTTATATCACCTACATATATATTTCACCACACAGATTTCTCATCTCACCTCAGAATATTTATTTCAGTCTTTGATTATCTCATTTCATTTTGCACTACATATTATTTTTATCACAAACAGAAGTTACTTCATATTTTCTCCTTTTCAACATGTTTATTTCACACTACACATTTGTCAGCCACATTTATTTCATAACCAATTGTCTTGCAGATACAACTTATTTCATACCATCTTCTTACATCAGCTGATATCTTACCACTAGTATCTGATCAGAACCACCCACATGTATATAGAGAATACCCTTTCCCACTTACTTTGTTCCCCATGCTTGCATTAGAGAAGTAAACAGATAATTACTTAGCAGACATCCCTTACTAGTAATTACCAGAGGTAATTATTATTGATTTTCCCCCAGAAGATAAGAAATTGAACCCAGAAACCATTATCCCCCAGAGCCTCATCCTTACCAAAATCCCCCCACATCCTCACACTCTCACAGGTGCCTTGTACAAGACATCAGTAATAAACCTCATACTAAGATTACCCACAGAAATAGCCACACCTTTTCTTTAATTCTTAGTGTAACTCTCTCCCAAGCCTTGACAAGAGGGCAGCTTCATCAGCATCCAAGTCTTCAACTCACATTTTCCCCTGGGTAGTTGTTCTTATCCCCTCTAAGCTCTTTTCTTTAGCTTGAAAAGTTCCACACCGGTCAAGAAATCAGGTGAGCTTATTGACCAAAATTCTTCACAATTGGTAGCTTTTCCTTAAGCTTATTTTAAATTCTTTGTCTGCACAGATTGAGGAATAGTGAAGTGATACATGTGGTGAGTTGAATTAGTTACCACATACATACATGCAAAGCTAGCATTACTTTGACAACGAATTCAAAATTTTCCTTTTAGGCAACAGGCATTCAATCTAGGGTATGTAAACTCAGTGATTGTCTTAACAAAGTACCTGCTCTACTACAAAAACAAGCGAGATGGGCCATATTGTTTGGCACCTGTTTGGCACCAGATTCAAGTGCATCAAAAAGAAATAATGCTAAGTAAAATTCCAAGGCTTATGGTGGTTTTCATTGGTAGACATGGAAAGATGAAGGCTGATATTTGAAATCACAAGAAAATCGATGAAAAGTCTCTTTTCTAGATTCAAGGGAAGGAATAGGTTGCCGCTTTTCAAAACCAACACGGAAGTTGATTCATTGATGTCCACTTCTGTAGATGCTGTTGGAAGCTATGTATGATTTGGGCAAACCGTTGTAAGGATCTTGAATCTACATTTCAGAAATATTGAGGTAAAACAGCAAAGCAGACGAGATGATCAGCCTATGAGGTATATATACCTGAGTTTGGCAGGTAGCGATGCACTCACCCCTTGGTATGACGCGTCAGACAATGCTATATTGCCACAATAGGTATTGCAGGATGCCGAATCACACCAGGGCCATTCTAAGTGACCTCCTACTCTTTGTGACGGGGGTTCGGATACTTTTTCAACAACAGAAGGTGTACATTTCTCTTGATTCTCAGTTATGCAAAATTGGAGTGAGTCCTCAGATAAAATGATTTTACTCACCGTATAAGTTGTTTTGATTGTTGACCTTACAAGCACAAAGTCCAACGGGAAATTTTGGACCGCAACCAAAGTATAGTTTGTCGTTCGATGTTGCAGCTGCGAATGCAAAGCTTGCAATTAATAAAAGAACCGCAGATTTGATGGAAACCATGGTAAAAGGAGATGCTGCTAAGAGCTGAGAAATGCGATGCAACGGAGATGTGGAGCTGGATGTAGTTGTCCTTTGAGGGAATTCGATTGGGAAGGATACGATCGATGCTTGGGAGACAAACCTGGCTCAAAATATGAATGCACACAAACAGAAAACTGTACCCTGCCTACAGATCCAGGCTGCTCATGGGTGGCGCCGCCGCACCAGACATTGTGTGGCTTGGATGGCGGAGGGAAGGGCTTTTTATAATATGTACCATGAGGCTCAGAATACAATGAGGCTCAGGTGCATGTGCATTTGTAATTGGCTTACGTAGCCGGTAGCCCCCCTAATCCGATGAAGGAAGCAGGCGAGCCGAGTGCTGCCGGGTGTGTGGTCGGTACTCACCGGTTCCGACACGAACTATGTAGACCGGCACCACAGCTGGCGCACTTGAATACATTCACTCAGCCTCCATCGAATCTATCATTGGTCGATTTCCCGTGTTCACATGTGAATACAGCCATACGCTGAGACGAGAGTCGCTTGGATGAACCGCAATGGGCTCAAAGACGCTATCCAGACTTCGTCAGAACTTCCCCTACATTCCTCCTGAGGTCAGTCGCATCCATGCTGTACATTCCCAACACTTATAAACAATCATCCAGCTGAGTAGACCTGCCGGATTGTATTCTGATGATTGTACATACCGTTCGGTTAAGCGTTGACAGGCTACCGTCGATCATCTGGTCATCGGCGCTGGAGTCGTCGGTCTCGCCATCGGCCGAGAACTGGTCCACAGGTTCAGGAGCCGATCAACCTTCGTGGTCGAACGGTCAGTCCACCACCATCACATCAAGCGTCAAGCTGTTATCGATTGGTTTTTGTCTCTCCTGCCGTATCGGCCTATGTAACGAGTCGCAATTCCTGACTCGGCTTCCCGCACGTTGCTTCCTATGCGTTCAGGAATCATCAGCCCGGTCAAGAAACCAGGTAAGCTTCTTGACCGAAATTCTTCTCGATTACTAGCTTGCTCTTGAGCTTATTTCTAATCTTTCGTCCGTGCAGCTCTAGAAATAGTGAAGTAATACACGCTGTGAGTTTAATTAGCTACCATATACGTGCAAAGCAGTGCTTCAAAAACTAATGCAACCGTGACTTTTTCTTTTCAAGGGGATCTATTATCCTCAAGATTCGTTGAAGACCGCATTATGCCTTCGAGGTCGAAAGTTGATGTACGATTACTGTCGGAAGCACGAGATCCCCCACAAGAAGATTGGCAAACTGATCATTTCAAGGTCGAGGGAGGAGACTGAATATCTACAGAAGTTGTACCAAAAATGTCAAAGTTTGAATGGAAGCCAGGATCTGAGAAGAGGGGTGATGTTCGGACGAATGGAGGATCGAGAGGAGGAGTTGGTTCCATTGAGGGTAATCGACCAAGCCGAAGCACATGCCCTGGAGCCCGATCTGAGTCCAGACGTTTCCTTCGGCCTGTTCAGCCCAGAGACCGGCGTCCTGGACTCTCATGCGTTCATCTCCTCACTCGAGAACTCGATCGAAAACAGCGAGAATGGCGAGCTCGTCTATGGCACCCATGTCGTCCGCATCGATCGATCCTCTACCGACCAAGGCTGGGTCGTCCAGACTCAAACCAACGCCGATCAGCCTGGTGAAGGCGGGGGTGAACGAAACAGCGTACTGGCTAAGTGTCTGGTAAATTGCGCCGGATTGAAGTAAGCCCTCTACTAAATCAAGAAACAAAAAAACAGAAAAATTTCGTGAGGATATTTTGATATATGATACTGACTATAGGATAATGTCGACCCAATTGAGCCAGTGCACATAATATCTACAATCACCTGCTATATCCGAGATCGCGACAACTCCAGCTGGGGTTCTGTAAGGGTAGCTACTACTCGTACAGCTCTCCAAAGGGTGTCGACTCGGTCAAACATCTGATCTACCCAACGCCGATCCAGCAGCCCACACAAAAGAGTTTTGTGGGCCTGGGTACTCATCTGACTCTAGACATGAACCAGAAGATCAAATTCGGTCCGGACGTGGAGTGGCTCACCACGAAGATGATCGAGGCTAACAAGGGACTTTTTGGGAAGTGTGGTCCGGATGGGCTCGCCGCAGGCGCACTAGAGGAATGTCAAGACTTCTGGACCGAGCTCTTGGTCCCGAACGACCAGCGACTCGAAACTACTTACCAGTCCGTTAGGAGTTATCTACCTGGAGTAGATAGAGATCACTTTTCACCCGATTGTTAGTCGACCTTCCAAGATTTCTTTGTCTCCTTCCTCAGATCTTTAACACTTTTTTATGGGTAAAAATTGGGATTGTTATCATCAGATTCAGGAATAAGGCCGAAGTTACGGACGACGGACAGCTCACAAAACGAATCCAATCAGGAGGTCTTGCTCAATGGGAACGAGGGAATGAGTGGCAGTCAACTTCCGAACCTGGATGACTTCTACATCAACCAGTCCGAGCCGGGCTTCGTGAACCTGCTTGGGATCGAATCTCCCGGCCTGACCTCCTCCCTTGCGATTGCTGAACACGTCGCCATGTTGATCCAACAACTCCCCTCGGGTCTGTCCCTCAAGAGTCGCCAGTCTACGGCCCATGAGCGCTTCAGTGCAGTCGGTCATTTGGACGATTGGGCTTAGACTCGCACCTCCGCACGTTCTTTTGGCAATCTCTCATCGTCTACTTTTTTTTCCACTCGAGTAGCTCTCCTCAGCTCGCCTTCGACTTGAGAAACTGCAATTTTCCCAGTCAAATAAGTCTGAGATCGGCTTCTCCTTTGTAAACCTCATAATAATCAATTGCAATGTGCATATACCAATCTTCTCTCTCATTTTGTGTAATTCTTCTTTTATGCTTCATGCAAAGTACTTGATCCTCCCTCTCAGGGCAAGAGTGACGGAGTGTATGTAGTCCGAGACACCACTCTGTCGGAACTGTATCAATGATGTCTATTCTCAGATTCTCTTTGTTTTTGAACTAGCACCGACCAGACCAAAGCGTCAATGAATAGAGTTAAAACCAATCCCATCTTCCTCTAGCGGCAACAGACCTTCCAATAAGTACGGTGATAAAGTCGAATGTTTGTCTGCCGAATTCGCCACCTGATGCAGTGTTTGAGTTTTTGGACACCAGCTCTTCTTGATCAGCACATAAGTTGATTGTGAGTGGAAATCAAAATATACACGATCTAGTAGTCCAGCCATCCGAGCATATTCACCCAGGACTTCGGCTTCTAATTTGTGGGTCGCTTGTCGGACCTTAGTTGGATTGTCCATGGTTCTATGTATTGGGAATGGTTCACAGATTTTTGTTTGTGAGGCGATTGGCATCAAATTTATCATTCGATATCCCGCACACATGTTGCAATGAGAGGAGAACAGATCGGTTGAGCGTTGACAGGCTACCGTCGTACATCTGGTCGTTGGCGCCGGAGTCGTCGGTCTTGCCATTGCCCCAGAACTGGTCCACAGGTTTAAGAAGCCGATCAACCTTTGTGGTCGAACGGTCAGTCCACCACCACCACAGCAACCGTCAAGCTCTCCTTGATTGGCTTTTAGCTGCTCTACCGTATCGTCCCGTTGGGTCGCAAGTCCTGACTTGGCTTCCCGCATTTTGCTTCCTATGCGTCCAGGAATCCTCAGCCCGGTCAAGAAACCAGGTAAGCTTCTTGACCAAAATTCTTCTCAATTGTTAGCTTGCTCTTAAGCTTATTTCTAATTCTTGGTCCGTACAGCTCGAGAAATAGTGAAGTTATATACACGGTGAGTTCAATTAGTTACATGCCAGTACCCGCTCAATTACGAAGAAGAACGTGATGAGCTATGTTGTTTGGCACTAGATTCAAGTGCATCAGAAAGAAATAATGCACAAACAGTTCCAAGGCTTACATTGGTGGGTTTCATTGGTAGACATAGAAGGATCAAGGCTGATATTTGAAATCAGAAGAAAATCGATGTAATGTCTCTTTTCCAGATTCAGGGGAAGAAAGAGGTTGCCGCTTTCCACACCCAACATGCAAAATTGATTCAAAGATTTCCCCTTCTGGGGATGCTGTTTTGAGCTATGAATGATCTGGCCATACCGTTGTAAGGATCTTGAACCTAGATTTCAGAAAAATGGAGGTAAAACATCAAGGCAGAGCAGATGATCAGCCTATGAAGTACATATATGCCTGAGTTTGGCAGGTAGCAGCGATGCACGCACCTCATCGTCTGACGCGTCAGCCAATCGTTGATTGCCGCAATAGGTATTGAAGACGTTCGAATTACACCAGGGATATACTATGTAAGGTCCTTCTTTCTTTGACGGGGGTAGGGTCACTTTTTCAACAACAGCAAATGTACAATTCCCTTGACTCTCAGTAATGTAAAATTGAAGTTTATGGAGTGAGAGTCATCAGTAAAAATAATTTTACTCACTGTGTAAGTTGTCTGGATTGGGGACCCGACTACCACAAAGTCCAATGGGATAATCTGGACCGCAACCAAAGTATAGATTGTCGTTCGATGTTGCAGCTGCAAATGCAAAGCTTGCAATCAATAAAAGAACCGCAGATTTGATGAGAACCATGGTGTAAGGAGATGCTGATAAAAGCTGCAATGTGCGATCCAACGGAGGTGGGGAGCTGGAATCTGGATGTAAGAATGCTGCTCTTTGAATGATGTCCGGGGTTCGTTGAAGGAATTCGATTGGGAAGCGATTTTTGGGAGACAAACCCTGACAAACCTGGCTCAATATACATATGAACGTACACCAATAGAAAACTGTATTAAATCCAATTGGTGGCACCGCCGCACCAGGTGACACCAGGTGGCCAGAATCTAGAAACATCCGAGACATTCTATGGCGATTGAGTGTCGGAGGGAAGGGCTTTATCGACCATATGCAACAACTCCTCTCAAGTCACAGAAGGTGGGACTGAGGCTCATGTGCTGTGCATTTGTAATTGGCTTAAAAAATTAGGAAGAGCATTCATATCGATAAGACACAGATCTACAGAAATATAGATGAACCCCCCCCAAAGGAATGTAAAGGGTTGATATCTTAAGCAAGATGGTAATTAGACTGGGTTGATAGATACACATTTCAGAAAGATTGATCGATGATAAAACTGAATGAAATGACTAGAAAATTAATCTATGACTGAAGCAAGTAGCTTTATTTTGGAATAAAATGTAAAGGAATGTCAAATCCGGAAGTGAAAAAAAAAAACGTAAACGGAGGGTTGGTTAAAAGTAATCCATTGAATGGAGGTTCTCGGGCTCGCGATTGAGCAGTCTTGAATATTCCTATTGAATATCAGAGAATGAGAGAGGGAGATAATTCAATCAGATAAGATGGAAGGAAGAAGGAAAAAATTGGAGGTGTAAGGGTGTTGATGGAGGATGGAGGGAGGACTCACAAGGAGGAGCAGATACATGTAAGCCTGCATATCGGTCAGTCGCCAAAACTTTTCTGTCCAATCATGCCCTTGCTGTCCAATCTGCTTTCCAACCTGATCGTGCGCGTTGAGCCCGTTGGAATCGCCAAGAAAGAATGCCATTCTGCAAGATGAAGGATGGACATAATCAGTACATCTCAGAAACAAACTCTTGATTTTTTTTTCCAAGAAACATGAAGAGTTTTAGGCTCTTCCTCGATATTTTTGGTTCTGGAGTGGACTTACATATCATATAGGTCTTGGTAATCTACTTTGACGGGTATATAACTATATGACCGGGCAGACAATTTGAAATGGTACAGACATATATCAGGGGTGGGTTTTGCGACGAATTATTACTATATAAAGGCCAGCAAAATCACGTACTGATACCAAGGCTGGATTCGATCAGCATACCTGGGAACCGGATGAAAAGTACGTCAGTCTTCTGTTTCCTCCATTGTTTTTTTTCGCGTTGGGTTCATGCTCTGCAACGCCAACTGAGGAGATCAGTCTTACCATTCGGGGAAGATGGTACTGTTAACAACGAGGATCCTGAATCAGCTTCAAATGGAATCTTGGTAGACAAAGAAGCAGGGAATCATCAGACGAGTAACTCACCTCTTCAAAATTGCGCTTTTTGTCGACATCAGCCTATGAAATCTGCCGCTCCATCCATTCCCATCGACATCCAAGAGATACCTGATGGTTGATGATGAATGTCAATGTTCCTGTCTTCTTGTTTTTTTTCTGACATTAGGAAAAAGCCATCAAGACGATCATTGTGTAAACAACAGAACTGACTTGAACGTGTTTGTTTGGGAGGGCTGAGAGTACGGCTTGAAGACATAGCCTTTCTGGACTGCTTCACAACTCCGATCATTAATCTAGAAAAGTTAAAAGAAATCCGATCATTCAGAAAGCTAGCAATTAGATGAAATGATTTCCAAAGAAAAGAAAACAAAAAAAACACGAAGTTGAAGTTGATTTACATCACATTGGACGGGCGAATTAGTAAATCCGATATCGAAATATCTGTCATTAAGGACTTTAGTATCGGCATCGAAGTATTCCAAGTGATCCTTTGAATCGGTTGTTCGAACAGACACGTTGCCTCTAGGTTCATTAGAGACTGAAAGGGTGTTGTGGGACCGAAGAGAATGTACAAAGTATTAGATGTTTTTATTCTATTGACTTAATTTAGTTGACTTGAAATCTTACACATTACTAATCTGGTTCTCTGACTCTTCCTCCAGTTATTGATGCCCGCGAAGTAGGTGCCAGTGGTGCTACCCCTCCAAAACAGTTTATCTTTCTTGGCCTCCCAGCTCGGATCCTTGCCCACCTCTTGCCGGAATTGCGAGGGTGGGGAGAGAGGTAACTCGGCGAATCCGTGGAGCTTGGTGAAACTGAAGAGAGGGAAAAATTGATGGACTTTGGGCTGAGTGCTGATAAAACATCCATACAAAAAAATGAAAAAATGAAAACAAAAAAAAAATGAGAAATTAGTTTGGGCCCAATCCATCTCGGGCGAACAACAGTGAATGGATTTACGCAGACAGGAAGCCATTCAGTTGGATCAACTCGGGATGGTCACAAAAGTTGGAGGCGGCGACTGGATCATGAATGTAACTCTGTCCAAAGTAGGGATTCCTACTGCGTGACAAATCTTGAAGGCCATCGAGGTTTCTCCGTAATTCGGATTGTGACGAGCACGAATTAGACCAACCGTAAATTCCGGGTTGATCCTTGATATCTGTCAGATCTTGTGGGCTTAGCACTGGATCGTGCAAGAGTAGGACAAAACAAAAAAGTTAGAGTTGGTGTTAATAGAGCTGGTCATTTAAGTTGGTGTACTGACAGGTCGAGTTTCGCACGGCTTGGATGTGGTGCTCATAATTTTTCGCAGACACCGAGACGGCTAGATGAGGAAGAAAGGGAAAATCAGTGAGTGAATACATTCTATTAATGAATAGACGGGGGAAATGATCTCCGAACCTGGTAAATCTTCAACGGAGATTGGTATATCCAGATCTGGTAGTAAATGGGCGATATCTTTCAGAAGCTCAACCATTTCCTTTGGGCGGGGACCGATATTAGCCTGGTGACCTGATAAACTCAACTGGCCATTCCTGATTGATACTACGAAGATCATCTATGGTGCCCAAGAGAATGGATCGAGTGAGCCTTTACTATGGTTTCGTTTGGAGAAGGGATATATGTACTTGCACAGAGCGAGGAGTTTTGGGGGGATTGGCTCACGGTTGCCCACTTGGTTTGATCGGAGGCCAGCGCGCTGGCCCGTTGTCTGAATACTTGGGGAGGGAGTGCAAAGAAGGGTTCGATGGATTTGTGGAGGTAATCATATTCATCCAGAAGTTTGACGTTGTTCTGTGAAGCCCAACTCCACCAGCGATCATAGCCTCGAGGTGGATTGCGATGGTTTCGACGTCGATACTCAGAGATGGCTGATGAGAGGTGCTTTGATTGTGATTCTAGTTTGAGGTTCCAAGCCCGAGTGGCATTATTGATGAGGGAGACGATGGGATGAAGGACTGGTTGACTGGTGCCATTAATCGATCGGTAGACCTTGTCGTCAAAGTAGAGGTATCCATCTTGAGAATGATTGACTTGAACGAGTTGAGGATTGGATGAATGACTTGATCTCAATAATCGGAATGGTGAAGCCCAGTTGAGTCGGGTCGGGTTGAGTGGGAAGCGTGGATGGTGGGATTCTGCTGGCTGGCGATATGTCAGATAGACGGTCAGGATGAAGATCGGGACGCCGAGAGTGATGATGGCCAGACAGCTTCTCCGGCGAGTGGGTATAGCATGATACATTGTCACACCTCGAGCTACATGCACATCGGCTGGCTATTCTGTCCAGGATCACGGTGTATAATCAAAGTATTCAGTACCTTTACGTAAACTTGAGGGTTTCTTTTGTCTGAGAAAACTTGGGTTTCTTCTTTTGTGGAATCGATCAAGCCTCGGGCGAGCGACAAACGGTGTAAAACGAGTCTTGATGGTCGTGATCAGCAGTTCTGTCGATGTGAAGTGGTATCCAAGTTCATTCAAGTCTCATTGGGTCTCTTCTTCAGCTGGAGATTGGTTTCGTGGTCGGATATCCAGTGCGATAAAAGTCGGTCGATCAGATGCTCTAATTATTGCCGCTGGTACACGGAGATGAGAAGCCGATGGCCAGTTCGGGTAAGTTGAACCAGGGTTGGATGGACTGGGAATGGACAGGATTCTCTAGAGGTGATGGAGTCCCAAGATGATCAAGCGATGGCGGGTTAGACGTACGCTGAGCGGAGTTTTGTTGAGGATGAATTGAAACGCAAGTGTTCAAGTCTCATCCCCCATCCCTTGCTCCTACTTGTTGCCAGGCTTGCCTCGAGTCACCCGGCACGTCGATCAGGAGAGAATCCAGCGGCGACCAGAGCTTCTTTCGAGTCTCAGATTGAGTGACTCCACGTCGAGATCGATTGGCACGCCTCCTCTGATTGACCTTGCCCCTTGGCTACTTTGCGGCTTCTCGGAGCCGTCCACACGAATCCATATAAGGTCACGAACGGGCTCGAAATTCACCTGTTGAAGCTGGAGGATACATACCATCATGAGCCAGATGTGCAGTGTGGGAGACCAAGGCCATTCTGGCTCACCGATAAGCAGTACGCCGCCATCTGGTCATCAGCAGTCAAGCCAATTCGAGGGGTAAGATGGAGTTTGCCAGCTTGATGGCTGTTGACCGCTTCAGCTGAATTGGTGTGGATGGTTCTCGTCGAGAATATTCGCAGCTACATAATACAGAGTGCTCCCTAAAGAAGCTTGCAGTTGATAACTCGTCCGAACTCATTATTAAGCTGGGACGATACATACTTTGCAAGTGAAGCTGGGAGAAGCTAGGAACCCAGAGTGATAAGCCCGGATTACCGGCTCCGGCGCCAAAGAAATCAAAGTGCTTCACAAATTCCGACTCCCGGCTCAGCACACATAGCCAGCGTCTGGCCGGATGCGCCGATGTGTATGTATGCGCCTGGATGTTTGATTGGGTGGGAATAGTCCAACAAAAAAATTGTCCACAACCTAGTGGAGGTAGAAAACTTGTTAGTTCGGCTTGCAGTCTGCTCCAGACATTTGCTGGTCAATGGAGAGAAGACGACCCAAGTGGGACGAGTGCTCTCAACAAGCCTGGGGGATGTTTGACTTTCTATACACCAGACATCACACACACACACCCAGAAAAACCTCCCAGACCAGAGGTATCCAAATCCATTTCAAGAGGCAGACCCTCCATCACAACAGCCTCCCGACAAGGCCGACTCTGATGGCTTCTTAGGTCCAATGCCATCCCCCAAGGCCTGATCTACAATGCCCAATTGCACCAGCGGGCCGTATTGAGGGTACTGACTTGGCTCGCGAGAACCCCACCATCGCTATCACCTCTTTTCAGTATTAGCCTCCCGAGTAACTCCGCGAGTGAGCATGGATAACAGTCTTCCGGAATGGCTTTGGCTCATTGATGGCCTACTTGCAGGCTTTGTCGCTGAGCAGACGAACAATCTCCAGCTTGTTGGAGATAAACACTTATAATAAGGACCTTCATCCTTATCTCAGAAACAGCCAAACTATCCAGCCGTCCTATCTATTTCTTTATTGACATTCATTCCTTTTTTGCACGTCTCTCGAATACATACCCATCCCACGTCCTTTTAGGACCAACGTAATACCTTCCCGCTTTCCTCTCCATACTCACTCCGCCTGATCATAATTGGTGATGACGCGTATCAGCTATCTTTTCGTTGCTGTTGCTATCAGCGTCCTTGGTAAGCTCATCATCTTGCTCACCAATTTCGACTATATCTCAACTGGGCTGGAACATTGATTGATCGATTGATTGATCTTGTCTTTTTTGCTGTCAGCCGGACACTCTAACTGTTCCCCAGATGAAGACTCACAGGGTTATGGCTTGTTCCCTGATCTTTACAACACCTTGGAGCCGCTCCCATTGCTCGGGGGCTTAGCCGGTGGCTTGTTGGGAAGCTTGGATTCCGGCCCGACTCCCGAGAACCCCACCCCCGGCGAACCAGTCGCCCTCAAACACAACCAACCCTCGGTCAGAGCTAACAACAGACGCCGACAGAGAGCCATCGTGCTCAATATATTGGATGACCTCAGCCAACCGGGTTACTTTCCCAACCCGGCTTCACGCATTTCTTCCAAGTCGGGCCGTCACAAGCAGAAGCCGATTATTGGTCCACCCATGGGTCCCGCGCTGCTCCCACAGCCTCCATCCCCGAGAGCAGATGATCTTGCGCCGCTCCCGGTAGCAGCTAGTCCCGAGACTGTCCCCCCTCCTATGGATTACCCGCCGGTTGATCAAACCCCGGCCATGAACGACCGGCCCATCCCGGGACCGCCCGTCGACGATAGCCCACAACCTCCTGCCGAAGACGCATCGCCCCCCGTCCACGTCCTCCCTCCATTTTTGGCCGGCAGTCGCATGCCAGGTGTTAGCACGATTCCTCTGAAGAAGCCAGCCCCGAAGACTAAGCGTGACGTATCTGATGCAGTCACAGCTGTCCCACCCATCATGGAAACTCCGGCAATCCCTTCGATCCCATCTCATCCAGAAATCCCGTCAATCCCGGCTATTCCGGCAATCCCGTCAATCCCGGCTATTCCGGCAATCCCATCGATCCCGGCCATTCCGGCAATCCCATCTATCCCAGCTATCCCATCCATTCCGTCACTCCCGTCATCATCAACTACTTACCCAACATTCATGGGAGCAATGGATGCTTTCCGGATGCTCGTAGCCAACGGCATGCCGCTTCAACGTCAGATTGCAAACGGGCCCGTCTCAGCAGAGCATATCCCAGCTGGCCCCAGACCAGCTCTAGGCGCGATCCACCCACCCTCCAGCGCATCCGCGCACACCAAGCGGAGCGTGCCTGATGGACTGGTCAACGGCTCACCCCCGCTCAGCCCACTTCGTTTCGGCAGACTGTTCTCATCATTCCCATCCTTGTCTATGCCCTCAATCCCCTCGATCCCATCATTTTCCCCGTTCAGCAACTTGTTTTAGCCCTTACGGTACGTGCAGCTTATTGTTAATCTCCGGCTAAATTGCACTAATCACTGATGATTTCTCTCTTTGTATCACCCTTGGGATTGATCGTCTTCCCATCATTTATAGACGGTATCTTGCATGTTCATCTGGAATGACGACGAGGCTGAAACTCTGATAGCCATCTTTCTTGCCGCGCTCCCGCCTCCTCTTCTCACTCTTTTCGTCCACTCGCTCGTACATATCTTCCCTTCCTATCTGATAATTTTTTTTTTTTTTTTTGAAAATATGAGGTGGCTTTTTTTTCTGCTTTTTTAAACGTCGTCTACGCTTCTTTCTATTGAGAAAAAGAGACATCCGAATCATGATTTATTTGTATGTCTCAGGTCTTGGGGAGAATATTTACACTAGTGAGACTAGTACAACAAATAATTCTTGGAGCTATGTGTTAGTTACGTGCAAGCAACTTCCTGTCAAATGTACCACTCAGAGCCCGCGAACGCGTGAGGGGACGAGTGCAATGTTGTTTCTGTAATTTACCAAATCGGACAGCCTTTTCGAAAGACGTCTGTTCAGCAGAGCGAAGATAACTGATCATCACTCTGTGAAATTGACGTCGAGAGCAAGCGCCGCGTCCAATCCTGTTACTGAGGGCGTGTCAATGTCCGATTCGGTCTGATGCGATTGCGGTCAACGGTCTTGTAAGGTCTGGCATTTCCACTGACTTTTTTACACGACCACGCCCAGTAGAGTCCTCAGTTAACTTATCCCGCTCCGTCAAGTTAGAGTGAAGTCTGAGACGCGTTCACTGTAAAACACCGCTGAGTGATTGTAGACGATTGTGGACAGGTGGAATCAGAGCTAAAGAAGGCGCCTATGGAAGACTGATGGTGACCAAAGGCAATCTAAACCTACCTCCCCTTTCTATGGGAGGAGGGACGCTCCCCTCCAGCAAGCCATCCGATGAAACTGCCGGAAGAAATCAGTTCAGTTATTATATCCACGCACACGAAAGTATTACCCAAGTTGTTGACACTTTTTGAGGATCCTCATCAAACCATTCCGTGGCTGGAACCATTAGTATCCCCTGGTAAATTTGATGAGCTGGGTGAACTCAGAGTCACAAGCGGTGCACCTGTGGTGATGGCTGTCCTCATCCCCCCGCAAGGCAAAGCAAACCCCTGTTTTGTGCCGGGCAGGCCTCTGCACAAACTTGACTCGATGCTCAGGGGGTCACATGTGACATAAGTCTAACTGCTGTGATCAGGTGGCTGACAAGATTGAAGACAATGAGCTTGTCCAATCACTGAATTTCTTGTAAATCAATGAATGAAAGAATTATGCAGAAGACCAAAAGACTTGATAAGCATACATTTCTGGATCATAAAGGCAAAGCGTTAAGTAGTGAAAGGCTATCCTACAAACGTGATGAAACTAATAAGGAAACTCTAAGAAACACTTGATGAAATCAGTACAAGGAAATTCGAATACATGAACACTTGAGATAACGATATGCGATCTATATATGGCTACAGAGAGATGCTGATAATGAGTAGGAATGGAAAAACAGAGAGCTGAGGAAAACGGATACTCAGTCACCGGCATGTTTGAATCATGCACTCTATACAAGTAATTGAAAAAATATAAAAGAAACAACTATTTGAGCATGAGTCTTGTCAGAAAGCGATGTTGATGTAATATTTGATGCATATTTCCGGAATAATTTCAGTTATTATCATCCCAAGTGCAATCGCCACGCATCGCCATCGCCATTGTCATTGTCATCGCCTTCGTCCTCGTCCTCGCCATCGTCATCGTCATCCTCCTCCTCCTCTTCATCACTGCTATCATCATCATAATCGAAGAAAGAATCAGAATCCGGGCTCAAGCTTTCATCACTGTCGAAAAGAAATGATGGTCCCCGCGAAAAATTGTGAATAGCAGTTGTAAATTGGTCTGTCCACATCTCACACCATTCCAGAGAGTTTTGAATAAGGGCTGGATCGCCTGCATCACTCTGCTCGAGGAAACTCTGTAAGTGGGTTTGAGTGCAGGTGAGGAGGAATCTGAAGCCCGCGAGGTAATCGCGGACGCGAACGACCGCTTTTTTACTGCGGAGTCGCAAGACAGTATAAGTAAACTTTCTAATATCGTCTTCTATTGCCTCCGTTTCGTAGTACATCTCCCTCAATCCTTCTGTTCGGATTCTGAGTATTAACTGAGGTTCGTTACTGGCGGGGCTACATAGTTTATTCAACATCATTCGACAAAGCTTCAAGAGCGGCAAATAGTTTTCGAGGAGTTCAACTTCAGATTGACTCATTAGTTCCCTTGGCGTCCATCGATCCAACTTGAGATGTTTATAGTTACTGATTCCTTCTATGCCGGTATCATTCTGTAGCAGTAAGGGCTTCAAGGATTGGATTACGGCAAGTTCCATGATTTCGATCTCCCTCACGGTTCGTTGCCACTTCAATTGAAGAACTTTGCGCGGATGCTCGAAATCCCAAATCATCTGATCGATTAATCTTAATACTTCGCCTAGAGCTGTTTCCCCCGATTTATCAGGCTTCAAGTTGAGGTCTTCAGCTTGCAATGCTTTGATGTGAATTTTGAACAGCTTGATTATACCGTCTCGTATGTAATCAACCCCCCAAGGCAGTTCACGATAGTAATATGGCTCTAGGATATAAGTGGCATTTGCGTTTTGATCAATCTGCGAAAAATTTGGGAGCCCCATGGTTTTCGTGGCTTCGATGAATTCGAAATGGGTATGGCTATGGTGCCACGGTTGTAGGACACTGGACTTCAGCTGGTGTGCATCCTTAACTATCCCCTCTAGCCAAGCGATCTCCGTGACTGGGTCTTCCGAGAAATGTAGCTCTTCAAGTCGAGTCGATTGTAGTGCATGTGTCATTTTGACCAGTCCACGACGCAACCGCGGTAAAAGTTCTCGCTCCAGGCGCAAGTCAAGGCGTCCAAACCCGATTCGATCTCGCCATCGATGAGTGTCTCGACCTGCTTGAAGTGGTGGTATAGCTTGACTTAAGGCAGGGACCAGTAGGGCTAATTTGATCAAGCAGTCGAACGGAAACAATATTCAAATCAAACCCAGATGTAACTGCTTTCCAATGAGGTAATTGAAACGCACCACGAATAAACGACGATTGGTTGTTCACTTTGGATTTCAATCCTTGGATTGATGCTTGTAGTTTTTGATTTTCAAGTTCGTAGAGTTTGATCCTTTGGCGCCCAGACTCAAGTTCTCGTTCAAGTTCTTGGAGGTCACTGCTATCGGTTCGGCCATCCATTTGGCAATCGCTCAACGCAATAGATTCGGTGTACGGAAAGTTTGAGATGGAAGAAGAGAGCACAACCCGATCTTCGCGAATGTCTTGAGATTTGGAGCCTGTGCATGATTGAAGGACTCGATGACGTCATTAAGCTCGACTTCGGTCTTCCCCCGGAGAGATGCCAGCAGTGAACAGGCCCAGGCAAGGCCTAACTTAACTAAGTCCCTCTTTATTCGGAGGAGGGACACGTCCCGCAGGGACCCTCCGAAGGAGGAGCCATCAGATGAAACTGCCGGAGGTACTTATTGTCTTTTCAGAGAAGCTTGGAACCCTAACTTATCTAAGTCCTCCCTGGTGGGAGGCACGCTGGTGTAAAGCACTGGCTGGTGGCGAAGCCACCCCTCCCGCAGGGAGGGACTTACGATCAAAGCGGGGGTGCTCCTAGTACGGGATCTCGCGAATTTCTCGTTCAAGTCGGATAGCCTGTAGCTTGCTCATTTTACGAGCTACACATGGAGTGTGGCGGAAGGAAAGATGCGCTACCATCCTGTTTCCCCTTCCCTCCTTTGTAACCAAATAAACACCTCGTTGCTTTCCTGAAATGCCTAAAAAACCTGTTTGGAGGTGATGGGAGTTCTCTTTTTTTTTCTCTTGTCATAGTAAAGTCCTTTTTGGACAAATTGAGCCGTTGAAAATGAGAAACCCATAATTCAACCGTCCCAGTTAGCTTGACTGGTGCATGTATCCAAGGGGTACCATGATCGATTGACTTGTGAAGTGATACGATACAAGCTTGGATCTCTAACATAAAGAACAATTCCTCCGTTCACGACAGTCGTTGTACGCAATGGAAGGCTCATCACTGGGATTATCAGTCCGCGATCCCTCAGATGCACATGTTGAAACGACTACATTGCCACCGGCTAAAGCGAAAGGAAAGAAGAGAAATTTGGAGCTAAATCAAGATATCACAAAACTAGACGACGAACATTTAAAAAACTATGTTGCAAATATGTCGAAGGAACACTATGAAGAAGCACCCAAAAAGCTACAGATCGATACAGTCTGCAATCTCGCCCGTGGCTATCATAGCTTCGTGCTTGCTGGAACTGGATATGGGAAGTCGAGGATTGGCGAGCTCTACTTTCACATGTATGCGCCGCAAAGGAAGCCGGTAGTACTTGTACTTAACCCCTTGGATTCCTTGGGCGAGGATCAAGTAAGTCGTGAGATGGTCTGCTACAAAGTCAGGAGGAAAGGCAATATTAATAGATGTTCAAATCTTTAGGTTCGCGAAAAAACAAAAGCAAACATCAAGGCAATCAGTCTAGGGAAAATGGTACTGACAGAAGAGTTAGCAGAGGAAATAAAGCGAGGAGACTATGCCTTTGTTTACCTTGTTCGTTCTTTTTTTGCCTCTTGACCATCTTTGGAGAATGTTAGCTGATTCAGTCATGTTATCAGAGCCCAGAAGTTTTCCTCAACAACAGTTTGTTTACCGATCTTTACTTTAGCAACGAGTTTCAGAGCCGACTTGTGCTGATTGTCATAGACGAAGCACATATGATATATGTGTGGGGCCTTGTCGAATCGGGAAAAGCAAAATTTCTCTCAGTGCGAGATCGTCTTCAAGACTACGGAATTTTCCGTCCATCGTATGGCAAACTTGGTGATCGATTGATGGCCACCAACAATGTTCCTCTTCTGTTGCTATCTGCGACCTGCCGTCCAGTTGCCGTTGATGCCATCCTAGCCAGCTTGATGCTTAAAAGAGTCAATATGCCTTTCTTTCATGGTGAACTTGTACGAACCGAAATCCGAATCTTGAGAATCACCATGCAAAATCCACTCAAATCTTGCGAGGACCTATTTAGAATGTTCTCAAAAGAATCAAAGATCAAGGATAAAGATTTACTGCCTACGTTGATATATTCCGGTACTCGCAAAGCAACCCTAAGTGTGATCAACGTCCTGAATAAAGCACGAGGAAAAAAGAAAGACAATTACGATAGCAAGAGTCCGCTTGTCCGACGCTACCATGCATGTACCGGGGATGAAGATAAATTGGATTGTGTGAAAGACTTTGATAGCGACAAATTTCCGATCTTCTTGAGCACAATGGCACTTGGCTTGGGCCAAAATTGGAAGCGAGTTAGATGTGTCATACACATGGGTCGGGGTGATCCATCCACAATTAGTCAGATGATGGGTCGTTGCGGACGAGATGGAAGACCTGGATTAGCGCTTTTGTTTATGGAACCGAAGAGAAAGAAAGGAAAAAATTCTGTGAAAGACTTTGAGGCTGGAAAAAAGCAGCTTACCGATGATGATCGAATGGATGCTTATGCTATAACCCCGGTCTGTCTGAGAGTGGCCAATGCCGTGGATAATATGTCAGTAGTAATAGTTATGATTGTTTTCCAGAGAAGTGTAAACTAAAGCAAGGTGAACAATGAAATTTTGTAGCTATGGATACATACCGGTTTCTAAAGACGACCTGAAGTACCGAAAAGAAAAAGATCGTGCAGACTACCTCAAATTTGATTGCTGTGAATGCTCAAACTGCAATCCTGAGGCCGCACAAGATATCCACAAATTAGCACACCTGTTCACAAAAGAGAACTTCGACAAGATATTGGAAAATCCTAGTCAGTTTGCAGAGGGTGTCCCTGATTACATCCAACCCAAGAAGCATCGACATAACAAGCGAAAGTACAAGAGCCGGTTACCTCAAGCTGCTGTGAAGAAGATTGCCGATGATCTTATAGTTCATTTTGAATTGTTCTATCAGGATCTGATGGATGAACGGCCGGAATTCAAAGCATCAAGATTTTTTGGTGCAGCACAGGCACAGGCTGTTGCGGAGGCGTTTGAATACATCGAAGAACCCAGCTTAATTGCGAAACTCATCGGAGGAGAGTGGTTTGATAACCAGATCGACACAATGTTCTCTTTTGTTGAGACATACAAAAAAACTGAGTGGTTTGAAAAACAGGTATTTGAGATAGAAGAAGGGAAGAGAACAAAAGAATCTCAGGAAAGAGAGAAGGTGGAGAAAAAGAAACGAGAAGAAGAAGAAAAACGACAAGCAAATGAAAAGAGAGAAGCAATCAAAATTGCAAAACGAGCTGAGGATGCGATTGCCTTGGAAAACTTCAAGCGAATTCGAGCGGCCGAAGCTGAGGAAAGAAGATCTAGAGGAGAACTTTCGGAGCCTTCAAAGCAATCGTGTACCACACAACCAAAAGCTAAACGGGTTCGATTATCGCAAGAAGATAGAAAGAAACGAGACGATCAAATTTTGGCCGAAAAAACTGCTAAGCGAGCAGCTGATGCAACTGCCCTGGAAGAATTCAAGCAAATCCGAGCTACTGAAGCCAGGGAAAGGGCAAAAGAGTTGGAGGAAGAAGGGTATAAAGATTGACATACCGATTGATCACTCATTGGCCGTTTCTGGAGAGTTTCTTTTGTCGGTTTCGTCGCTAGATTCACTTTCTTCGCTAGATTCACTTTTTTTGCTAGAGTCATTTTTATCGCTAGAGTCATTTTTATCGCTTTCGTCACTAGAGTCACTAGTATCTGAATCTTCTGAGGTATCTGAATCATCACTTGTGTTAATTGCTGCGGTCTTGCTAGTAGTAGTATCTGGATCTCCAGTCTCTTCTGGAATCTGTAGATTATCTGGATGGTCGACCTCTTGATCAAACAGGTATGCAGGCTTCAGTCGATCCAGTCCTCCTGGATCGCATCAATACCCTGTTGGTAAACATCGGAAATGGATGTTGGGACAAAATCTTTGGGTTTATCCTCGTCCAAGCAGATGTTGTACTGCTTTGCAAATCTGACAAATGAGTTGATCGACACATTTTTTATCTTATTTTTATGTGATTGCTGAACGACATTCATTCCCGACTCTCTATTAAGTACCTGCATCAGGCTTTTGAGCTAATGAAATTGTCAGGATTTTAGTGATGTATGATGTTTGTTTCAAAAGAATCCTATCTGGACTTACCACTGGAATGTTGATAGAAAAAACATCCCTTAAGCGCTTTATGTTGGTCCCAATACCCGAATGATTGTAGAAGTATTTAAGCCAAAAGTTTTGAACTTCTAGATAGAAGTCAGTTGCTACAAAGTGCCCTTCTCGCCCTGAAGGACACAGGAGCATCAAGTTCTCGATGACGTTGGCAAGCGACTTCGGAAGGATGACCTCTAGAAGGAGAATTAGTTGTGGAAGGTGACGGGAATAGTGAACTAGTTTTTTTAAACCTTGGCCCATCACAGCCCAGCGTTTCCACATGAAAATCAGTCGGCCTGTATCACCTGCCTTGGTGGCCCGATTTACTTCGATCACCGTTCCAAAATCTCGAATTCTTAGAAGTAGATTGATCAACTTGGTTTGTTTTTTGTTGATTGCAATCTCAAGTGCTTCGCCTGATAAGAATTGGTCAAAAGTTTTCTCAACGACATCCTGGATAGAGGCGGAGGTCATGCTTGGAAGTTCTTCGGGAAGGGTTTCATTCTCTATACCCATCACAACTCTGTAAAAGCAATGGGGAAGAAATTTGTTGGTAAAATCTTGAGATGGAACAAACGGGAAAAAAAATTAAAGAGCTCACAACATGCAATAGAGAAGATCTGCCTCGTGGATCTTCTCCATGTTGGATATCATCAATGTAAAATCTCGCTTGGTTACTGGTTTTTCTTGAGGGATTCCTAGGGCCTTGAGGACTCGCCAAGCTCCGGTGTCTTGTCGATTTGGTCTGATCTCCCCAATGGTGCAAAAAGATCGATTGTGCAAAGTTCCACATAGTGTGAGCTGCTCCAGGGATCGAAATGAGATTTGCAAGACTTGTCTTTGAATATGCTGCTGGGATACGTAGTTCACAAAGACTCAGGACATTCATACAAGTCCCTAGGTCGCCTTCAATTATTTGAAGTCGACTTGAAAAGCGTTCGGGATCAAGGCCGGCCTGTTTGTTGAGACCCGAAAGCACATCACCAATGCCTTCAGATGAATTGTCTGAAGCCATCATCAGTTTAAGCATGTTAAGGTTGGGCTTTTCAAGTTTGATTGGTCTGACTGGTGGCGGGTGATCTGCAAGGGGCGGATTCTTCTGGCTTGAGGAAGCAACATAACGAAGGAAAACGCTAGTGAGCTGAGACTTGAGCGTCAATTTGAAATATCGATCGCTGATAACTGTGGGAGCAAAATGGCGCGGTTGAACTTCAAGATTGGTACTTTTCTTGAGTGCAAGTTTCAATGCGGCAAGAGTTAGTTCGTCATGGTTGAGATGGTTGAAGAAAGTATGCGGCAAGTGATGGATGTATCCCCACGTCCCGTGGAACATAGTACTTGAGTCGGCTACAGACTTAGTGTGGATGGATTGTTGAAAATCCAAGTTGTCAATGCAAGCTGCTGGGGAGAAGATGTTTGCATCGGTGTTGGAGAACAGTCTCTTTATCTTTTTCTCCGCCTCCTTCCCAAGCGCTGCTAGCCCACAATGGGCAGTCCTTCGAGAGCAAGACAGTCCGACATAGTTCAGGTATCTGCTTACTCGTTCAGTGACCCCGCATGCGATGAAAAGAAGACCGTTCATCAACTGTTGTCCATTATGGCGCCGGTTACGCCCAAATGCAACCATCGAGCAGATTGTTCTAGCAATGTCCTCGTTTTGTTTTTGTCTACGGATTAAAGGATTACGGCTTGGGCGTAAGACATTGGAGTCAACTTCATTTGCATCGTCTTCAGTCAAGGAAATAGGAATTCTCGGGTTCGGGTCTTCCAATGGATCAGCTTGGAGAGTAGATACCGGCAGATTGTCGGGAGGAGCTGGATCTTCGAAAGCGGAAAGATCGATGGAGCCATCTTCACTCGAATCGCTGTCTTCAGAATCGTTCCCATTGCTTGGTCTTTCCAGCTTCCCCATGAGTAGATTATACAAAAATGGCATTGACTTGATGAGCAGCTGAGAACGTTCAACCCGTGAATCCTCGGTAAAAAAAGCCTCATCTAATTTATTTGAGCTGTGATACGCGCCTTTCGGGAATTGTCCGACCTTTGGCTTTTCCTTGCGTACAATATTGATGGCCTGCTTGTCAAGAAACGTTCAATAATAAATGCTAAGGCATGGAAAATCATGAGCGAGAGTAGAAAAAGAATGGAAGTAATTAACCTCTTCCAATATAAATTCCTCCCAAAGCAGCTTTCCGGGGTTATGCTTGCCAACAACAGTCTTGATTGAGTCCAACAGCCGCCTGGTCCCAGGCCAGCCTTGTGACCCCCAGTATCATTGTTTGAAAACGGAGGCAGCAGATTGTGTGTTCAAAAAATGAGCTATGTAGCTCTTCGGTTCCCATTTCAACTTCTCGATTAGATCGGAAATTTGCTTGAGTTTATTCTCCTCCGAGATTGACTTTGTTGATGATGGAGACGTGTGAGTAGACATTTCTGGAGAGACGACACAGGTATTGAGGTTTTCAGAGAATGTTTTGTTCAGGATTGCACGGTTTTAAAAATAGCGCATACATTTGATCAGAATCTGGAAAAGGAAACGTTGGAGAGAGAGAGATGAGTAGAGAGATAAGAATGAAAACGGTTGAATTAAACATTGAAAAAAAGAGCAGAGGAAAAAGCCAAATGAAAAAAAAGAAGATTATACACATATCCGAGTTGGCCCAGAGCTTTCTTGAAGTCATCAATTTCCTTTAAAAAATTATTTTAAAAAAATGGCTCAATGCTTTGAGGATGTTATGAGCTCTAAAAATCAACATATTCAGCAAGATTTTAATTTTCACTACCTTGGATGGAAAGCATCAAAACTACATGCTGGAAAAATTAAAGAGTGAATTTACAAGCTTTTTTGGTGGATGGTCTACTCCAAGCACCCCCGCTTTGATCGTAAGTCCCTCCCTGAGGGAGGGGGCGCTTTGCGCCCAGCCAGTGCCACACCAGCGTGCCTCCCACCAGGGAGGACTTAGATAAGTTAGCTTGGAACCATTTGCAAAAAAATTCTTTTGGAAGATCCAGGCAGATCCCATGCCTTGCATATAAAACTTTGATTTTACAGGTTTGGGTTTGGACAGGTATGTGATCCGACCCAAGACCTGGCACTGCAATCCAGCCTTAGTGGAAGACTTCCCGTCGATCTGGAAGCCCTTCCAGATACAGATCTGGAATCCCAGATTCCAGAAATTTCCAAAATTACAGAAATTTCCAGATTCGGTTTTCCGTCGTCCTCAATTCCTAGATCTAGCGGCGGCCCCTCTTCCTCAGCCTGTCAAAGGTGTAGCTCGGCTTCGATCATCTCGATCTCAGCCGGGGTTAATCATGAACAACTCCAACGACTGGTTCATTCACCTTCACTCGCGCTCTGGACAATAGGATTGATCGATCCGCCTCGGGTACTCTGCTGGCCGGATTCGCTTGGCCTGGGGTTCTGGCTCCGAGGGCCAGCTTGGGCTTGGCTTGGATGGGGAATCGGGTTGGGCTCGCCTCGTTCGGGTTGTTCGGGTTAGACATGTTGGAATGGTCGAATGTCGGATGCAATTATATTGATCTGGAAAGCTGGGAGGGGATCATGGAAACCCTCCCGTAGATTTGGAAGGCGGGCCTCCCCGGGGCACACCAAAAAATCTGGGAGAATTCCCCCCAGATCTGGATCTGGGAGGGCCTTCCAGATCGACGGGAAGTCTTCCAGTTTCTTCCTTAGAAGAGCTCTGGAAAAATGAAGCTCATATTTGGGATCAGGGTGCAAAGTTTACCCTGATCCCACCACCTACTCGGCCATCCCTTGCTACATCCAACCAGGCTGGGAGGGGAGTTCATGGCCGGGCATCGGGTCGCTGGATAGGGGCCGGGGAGGGAGAAGAAAATTAAGGTGGGATACATATGATGGAATCCGTGAAAAAAAAGAAGATAAAACAGACTTTTTAATGCATAACAAAAATAAAAAAACTCAAGAGGCTCCAAGCTACTCTGAAAAGACAATAGTTAAGTTAGAGGCAAGGCTCACAGTCTTTCAAACTTTTGCCCATGGGGAATTAGCGGAAGGTTGGAGGTACCTGTCTCACTGCCAAAATGATTGTATCAGATTGCTAAATCTGGCATTACATTAGATAAAAATACCTGATATTACATCAGGAAAGACTGGGATTGTATCTACCAGAATTGATATTATATCTACCTAAAATGATATTGTGTCTATCATGAAAGATATTATTGTCTTTTCCAAGAACCTTGGAACCTTTTGAAAAAAAAATATTTTGGCAGATCCAGGCAGATCCCATGCCTTGGATATGAAAAGTTGATTTTCCAGGTTTGGGTTTGGACAGGTATGTGATCCGACCCAAGACCTGATACTGCTATCCAGCCTTAATTTCTTTCTAAGAAGAGCTTTGGAAAATTGAAGCTCATATTTGGAATCTGGGTGCAAAGTTTACCCTGATCCCCCCACTTGCCGGCCATCCCTTGCTACATCCGACCAGGCTGGAAGGCGAGTTTGTGGCCGGGCATCGGGTCGCTGGGTAGGGGCGGGGAGGGAGAAGCAAAAGGTGGGATACCTTATGACGGTATTCTCAAAAAAAACAAAATAAAACAAGCTTTTTAGTGCATAACAAGAGCAAAAAAATTTGAAAAGTTCCAACATTTTTGGAAAAGACAATAAATCAGACCAACCTATTCAATTTCAACATAACTGAATTCATATCAGATTTTTCCATCTGATGTAATGCCCATGGGCTAAAAAGTTGTATCAGATATAAAAATCTGATATAAAATCAGTTATGTTGATATTAAATAGGTTGGGCTGATGCAATATCTCTTGAGATGATATAACATAATTTTGGGTAGATATAATATCACTCCTGATAGATATAATACCAGTTTTGGCTGATGTAAAATCAGGTTTTTTCATCTGATGTAATGCCAGATGTGGGAATCTGATATAATCACATTTGCAGTGTCTGTGTATAAAGACTTCTATATTCATTACAATAACAAGAAATACTGGTTTATGTATCTTGAAATCTTTATCAAGTATCCAAAATATTCAACATGAAAAACACGGCCACTGTTTAGGTTTCTGAGCCTGCTCAGAACTTCATCGGAGATACTATCAACACAATTTTTCCATCCCTCCCATGTACACCATTTTGTATAAAGACAACAACCCACTTGCACTCTACTTTTCAAATTCAACACACCTTTATTTTGTATTTACAGGGAAAACTACTATCATAAATTTTCCATTCCTCCCATACACACCATTTTGTATAGACATGGCGCCCCACTTCCAAAGTATTTCAAAATCAAACCATCATTATTTCCTTGTGGAAAATATGAAATGAAATCCTGAAAAATTGCTCACCCGGCCATTGCATTTAGAAATTATTTTGTCAAAAAATGGCTTGACATCTTGTTTGAGCCTAGTCAACATTCCACATAATTAATCAGCATTGATCAGCATTTATGATATTTTTCTTCAAACTCTGAGCACTGACAGATACATGAATGACCCATCAGATGACATTGGAAGAACCTGGATTGTAGTTCAAATTGAGAATGAAGTCAGATTTTCTGAATCAGAATAGGACCAATAATACTTTTTGATTGGGCCTCCAAGATTAAAATTTGAAATTGATTCCAATGGGATTGACTTGCACTGCAAGATCCATAAGCCCGTGTAACACTACTGGTAACAAATCTTATATCCTCAGAGTAAACAAAATTTCCTGCTTGATTGGTGGGGAGCAAACCATAGGCCCTATTCAATTCAGTAAATAGTCCAAATTAGCAATAATAAAAAACAACTGGATTTTATTTTGGCCAAAATTTCAAATCAAGCATACTTCTGACAATCACTAGGTGATGCAAGTTTCTTTCCATAGCAGAATACCTCGTTAAATTTAGAATCATCTTCAATTATGGGAAGGGGCTGCCGGGATCTGATGCTCAGTGTGACAGTAGCAGGATTTGTGAGGTTATAATAACCAGACTGATAGAAAAATCAAATTATTCCTGATAGAATCAGCTAGGTCTAATCATTGTTTCAACTGGATTTCACAATATCTCCTGAAAAAAAAAAAGAAAAGGAAAAGTGGTAAACATACATTATTTTTGCAATGTCCCAACAGTTTCTTGAAGCCATCCGTAACAATTTGTTTGTTCCTGTTGAGAGGGGTGGAGGAGTTTTTAGAAATAGATACTTGATTAATAACCAGTTATTGGTCAAAATTTAGATTTGGAGAGCTTCTTCTACCTACAATGCAAGAACGTTCGGGTTGTCAACCATCACCTAGAGGGATGTAAATAAAAGGATGCCATGACGAGAAAGTGAGAAAGCTTCTGGGCCGAATAGGATACCATAAGCTAGCGATGAATCAGAATTGAATGACTGACAACACAGTTTCCAGAAATCCTTTCAACATGATATTCTCGTATATCGAGGGAAGAATCGGCTTCATACATGATTTTTTTTAATGCACTGATTGAATGCGGAATTGTCAAGTCAGTGTATGCGAACAGGCTGGAGATACTTAACAATCGGAATCTTGAAGACTAGTAATTAGATGGCAAGAAGGGAATCGCGAAACGTACTTGTTACAATCAGCCCGCCCCGCCTTTGTTGGAAAGCACTTTACGTTGGGATCAGATGTGTCGTAGGAGGTGCATGCTTGTAGCAGGACCGTTACGACGATAAACACAAACAGATAGACTTCCATATTTATCTTCAGATACAGCTTTCAGGATGGAAAATATATGAGCGAGTAAAAAGTAGGATGTGGAATCACAATGTCGTAGGTGCTGGTTACTGGACATTCACGTTGAAGTATGAAGTCCCCCTCGGCTCCAGGGCCATGGTAACAGATGGTAATTACCGATGAAAAAGAGATCCCGGTGTCCATGGATGCAGCAAAGAACGGAAGGAGAGCAGAGATGTGCTCTATCGGAGTTCTTGTCATATGATTCTCAAGTACCTATTCAGTACACACTGGCCTAGGCCTAATCATAGGGTAGTGCAAATCCTTCATAGAAAGTATCTATGCTGAGGAATTCCAAGACATCCCAGGAAAGCTCACTCACCCAAAAAATCTTACGTCGGAAAACTCAAGATTTAACAGGAAACGCTAGCACTGAACATCTGAAGCCTCTCAAATCTAGGGCAAACTTATGATTGTGGTCCTAAAGTAAAATGCACAAGACTATCCAAGTATTGGGACAATTGATCAATTTGCACTTTTATCTTGAAGTTGAAGCCTATAGTAACATTTTCCTTGCCCTCTCCTCAATTTCAGCTCAGTCTTCTATTAGCATTGTAGCAGATATTTTCATTATAATCAAAGATCAGAAGATTGATTATTCCAATCACAATCTTGAGTATCTTGTTACAATTATAATCAATGAGCTTGGGAATCAGAATCAGATTTTTCATATTCACTATCATCGTAGGTTAAGGTATCGGCTTGCTGTATAAAGTGGTCAACAACAATTTTATACTTTACTTAAGCCTCCACATGAGACACCAGTCATGAGCCTTTAGAATTCGAATTGGTTCTGAACTAGAGCTGAGGGAATCCAAGTGCGTTGGAATGTGCTCTTCAATCAATATGAGGTGCTCGAAAGATTCTTTGATGAGCCTGTCCGCTCTTCCGAAGCGAAATTTCAAGACGAAAATAGTATAAAGCCTAAGATTATCTTCCATCCTCTTTGCCACCGTGGCAGTTCCTGCTCAACTTCGTGAGGACTGGTGACATATTTAGCTTGGCTAGTCATCTGGTACTATTTTTCTGAGCAACTTTGAGAATAAATTGGACCTGGTTGGGCTTTTTGTTCACAGGATGACGGGTAAGACTAAGACTCAAGAGTGAACTAAGACTCAAGAGTCAAGACCTGCAAAATGACAGTGCAGAATTGATGCGCGGTCCTGATTGCATATTCCATCCGCATTCATTGTGCCTCCACCTGTGGATTAAATGGCACGTTTTGTAACCAGGACTGCACAACCTGATTACACATACATGCATTAATTTTGTGTGTGGTGGGATACATACAGTGAGTCTGAGGATGACTTTATGAATATGAAGGTTGGGAATTGGGGTCTGGCCACTTTGTCCGGATACACATTCATTCCTGCATAACTTGATAAAAAGGTTGCTCAAAATTGCATATTTGGTGTAATGTGAGACAAGGAAAACACCAACAACGGGTGGGTTGCATGCGGGTGAACAAGAAACAGTTTATATACAAGCTCTAGAATAGGTGATCCCCAAAGTAATGATGGTTACATCATCATTTAAGCTGATGAATGGACAGCTCACAATTCTGTTGCCTTGCATTTTTGCCTGATGATTTCCCTTTTGGCATCCTTGGTGGTCGTGCGTTGATAAACGCACACCCTCCCCCCTCCCGCACGCCCCCGCCCCCGCCCCTCCAAAAGGGGTGTGCAATCCCACCCGCCCGTCTCTGAGGGGCAGGTTTGATTTCTGTCAATGAGGTACAACAACCTCATCTACCAGAAGGATTTCCTTCCGGTGGAAAATTTGTAAAAACCTCATTGCCTGGAGGGAAATCCTTCCGGTCAAAGAGGTATACCTTATTGACTGACCAAAAGGAATTCCTTCCCATTGATGAGGTTGTTATACCTCATTGACCAGAAGGAATTGCAACTTCCAGTTGATGAGTTTGTTATACCTCACACTGAAGGTAATACCAGTTTTGCTCCAGGAAAAAATGGCAATCTGGGTGGTAGAAAATAGGTCAATTTCTTGATGCTTTTTTTGACAAAATGACTCAGGAGTAAAAATTAGGCTAAAATGAGCTATTTTAGCCAAAAGATAAAAATGCCTCAAATGAGCTAAATATTAATTTTGGAATGTTTAAGATTGGGTATTCAGGCTAAAATAAAATATTCCAGCCTACAAGAGGAGTCCTTGTGGGGTTGCTTGAAGCTTCTGAAGCCCAAGGATCAAGCAGCCCCACTGATACACTTTCAACATGGCTTTCTGAAGACTTTGTGCTGACTGAAGATGGATGGCCGGTCAACCCCCTCAAGTGGTGAAAGCAGCAATGGCGCACTGGCAATACTAAAAGAGGGCTGCTTCAGATGGCAATTGATGAGCTTAGCTTCCTAGTTGCACTTTTTATTATCTAAATTATTATTATGTTGGTTGATTTTTTACTAAGTTTCCTGCACATTCTACAGCAAACACTGTTGACATGAAGTGATCCTTTAGATTTGGCAGGGATTATGTTTCTCTCAGGAGGCACAGGCTCAGTGAACAGTCTGTCACTAGGGGGATGATTGTGGCATTTTACTTGAAAAATTGTAAGATAAAGAGAGGGCTTTTGAAAAAGTGGAAGTCAAATAAGAAGAACAAGAAGAAAGCAGCAAGGAATAAATCTGTAAGAAAATGAAATACAAGGAGGGGCAAGGGTTAAGATTTAATATTTCTATTTACACTTACTATAAAATGTCTGGAATGAAAACTGCAATCAGATTTGTGACCTAGTTTGTCTCAAAAGTTTGCCATAAGTATGCCAGTACTTGCTTCCTCCTGCCCCTGCAGGTGCGGGTGTAGGTGAGGGTGTTCAAGATCTGAGAACTTTCAGGCAAGCACTTGTACTTGTTGCAGGTGCGCAGGTGTAAGGTGCCATCTTTAGTCTGGTTTCCAGTTATAAGAAGTATCAACTAACTTTCTCCAGAAATGGCTCTTGAAATTATTAAAAGAAAAACACTTCACAATACATTACCAATACCGGAAAATGTATCAGCCCACCATTGACAACAGTTTCCCCACTTGTGACACTCAAATTGGGCCCAAAAGGCCAAATTTGAAAAAATCATCGCAAGCAACAGAAAAATGAACTTTGGAGATTGGTCAGGGAGTGGAATCAGAAAATAACATAGAAAAATATAACAATTGTAATTCAAGGTTTCATCACCACAAAGAAAGTTTTGTCTCTTTCTGACAAGTGAAATCAAGAGACTAACTACACTTGAAGCTTACATAACAGTAACACACATGTATATTGCACTTCTAGGCAAATGGGTGGTTTGGACGCTTAAAAAGGCAAGGTTCACAAACACCTCAGTGAAGGCTCTACCAAAGCCTCCTTGATTTCACCTGCTAGCAAGAGACATTACAGTTTTTGCATGGTGCATTTTTTGAATTTTAGTAAGGATTGTTTTTCCTTTTTTTTTTGAACATAAATTTGATTGATTTCTCCTTCCTTCCCCATTGAATGGATCTTGGTTGACATCCAAGATTTCAGAATATATTTTCTCAAGTGGAAAGAAGAAAAATTATTTTTTTGACTGAAAACATAATTCAATGATTTTCCAGAAGACATAGTTTGAACCTGGATTCTCTCATAATTTAACTGCTTCTCTGAACCTTTTGCTCTTGCAAAACTCCTTGATCTTCTTGTTTTCAATTTTAATTTTCCATGAGCTATTCTACAAAACCTGGATTTTTGTTGCAATGCTGCTTACTTATAACCATAAAGAAGACAGCTTCATCAAAATTTCATTGGCCTACTAATAGGGAGTCTTGTTGATATAAGCCCAAGACATGCAATCCAGGCTCTGATTTTTCTCAACATCCCATGGAATTACCATTTTATTTTCTAAGGAAAACCTAACTCTTGAGTTCGCATATTGTTTTTTTTTTTGTTGCAGAAGGAATTCAGTTATAGATGGAGTAATTGGCCCCTTAATTAATCCATCTGGACGGTGTTGATGGGTACCCCCAAGATCAGCAGCCAAGACACAATGCGGGGTCAATTTGATGGGTTGTCAAAGATGACTTTCATTGCATAATCAGACAAGAAAAACAGATGGCCTTTTTTGCCTGACCTCGTGAATGGGGCCTGCAATCAATGCCCAGAAAGAAATTTCTTCCCTGTGGATGAGTTTATTTCCACCTCATCAACCCAAAAGATTTCCTTCTGGTCATGTGGAGAGCACTCTCCCCCCCCCCCCCTGTGAGGGCTAGAGATGGGCACGCCGCATCCCGGATATCCGTTCGGTTCGGATATCCTCTCACCATTTCAGCGGAATTGGACATCTGCATCCGCATCCGCATACGCTGGCGGATACCCGCCAGCGTTGGCGGGTATCCGCGCGGATACCCGCGGATACCCGCCCTCTGAATGGGCGGCGAGGCTCTTCCAGGAGTGTTTTTTTTTAAAAAAAGAAAAAGAAAAAAAAAGAAAAAAAAAAAAAGCTCGTCGGGAGGAACCCCTCCCAGCGAGCTGGTTTTTAAACCAGCTTGCCGGGAGGGATTCCTCCCGGCGGTGTGGCCTCTTGGCACCGGGTATCCCAAGGGATACCCGGATACCCGCCAGTATTTCAGGGGGAAGGGTGCATCCGCACCCGCTGGCGGGTATCCGCTGGCACTGGCGGGTATCCGCCAGCGGATAGCGGATATCCGCGGCGGATTATCCGCGACCATCTCTACTGTGAGGGGTATTTTGGGGAGCCAACTACCAAAAATCAATAATAATAATAATAATAATAATAATAATAATAATGGATGGCCAACTCCCAAAGCTGGACATCCATTTGGAGGAACCACTCTCAAGGGATGTCCAACAATGGTATTTGGGAGTCACCAACAAATCCTTGGGGGTTGTTTTTCTAAGCCCCTTAATTTATCACATTTGTTTCAACTTGTATCACCGCCAAACTTCACTTCATGAGCACCAATCATCTCACCACCAACCTTCACTCTGCCAACACCCAAATAAGCCCAACTCAAGCTCTCAAACAAATCATGCCCAAATTATCTTCAAGAAATAAAACATCAAAGCAACCAATGTTTCTGCATTTGTCATGATGTACAATTCTGATTCAGATCAAGAATCATCACTTAAAGATTTTTACTTTTTCTCTATTAATCATCTTCAGAAACAATACCTAGCAGCTTGAAATCCCACCAACCAATTCAATCCTTGTGATGAAATTTCTCAGCTTTGAAGAATTCCAGAATTGAGCTTTGTACAGATTTTTTGTATGAAACTCCCTTGCTTCCTCAACCTGGCACAGCTCATTGCATGTAAACACTCCAAAGCCTTTTCTTGGTCAATGCAATTGGATATTTTCAAATATAAAAAGGGTATTTGAGCCATAACCAAACTGTTTGGACAAAACCATTCAAAGTAGCAAAATTGAAGTCACAAATCAGTTGAAAATTCCTGAAATCCACTTTTATGAAATCCAATTATGAGTTGATTTTTATCGTTTAGAAGAACTGAAGTCATATATTCTGACTCAAGATTTGCTCACTCAGGTCCATGAAATGACAAAAATTTCCCCCATGATTTGGTAGTCCTGGTAGCTGTTTTGAAGATTGTTAGTGTCTCATGACTTGCAGGTTTTTCATTGATCTTTGGGAACCCAAGACATGTTGATTATAACCAATCAAATATTGTCTCCTAACCTCATCTTCAAACAGATGCAACACCAGGGAAAAAGGGTAACAAGTTCTATCAAAAGATGCATTGTTATATTCAAAACTGTACACAAATTGACAATGTGAGCTTAAACAATTCAGAGATTTCTTGTTCTGAAAATAACAGAATTGAAAATTTTGTAACAGAACTGAAAATGGTGTAAGTATTTCTATCAAAATATGCATTGCCACATTTTTCTTTTGAAAATAGGAGAAAAGATTTCAGGTGAATCCTTCATGGCCTGGTGTTAATTCTACAGCTAGGTTGACAATCTTGATTTCAAAGCTGAACATTTGACCCCCGCTTGGTTTGGCCCTAGAGGAATTAAATGGTAATCTATTTGATTTGTTTTCTTGTATAATTATAAGGAGGTTTTCCATGGAGGAAAATAATGTGATTGTAAGAAGTTAGTCTCCTTGTTATAGTTTGATGGCAAAAAAATATCAATAGTGACACTCACAGTTACCTCCTTTGTGATGTCTTGAGGGCAGCAATAACGGTATTTGTTACGTAAATTATAACCGTCAGGACATTGTAATTTTCCATTTGAGTTTACTGCCACTCTAGCTATCAGGTTTAATGACAAAAATAGTGTGCGAGGAGGGTCAGCTAATTAATCATTATATTATATCTGTGACTGATTGAGGTGCTCATACCATCGAGTTGAGTTGCTGTACCGCTGAGCGCATCGTTAGCGAGGCAAATAACAGAAAAACCCTCTGGGCAGGGGGAATTTGCTGCAATTGTTCCTAAAACAGGTACAAGGCCAAATAATAGAACCGGATGATTGAACAGCATTTTTGGATATGCAAGAAATAGAACTTGATGACAATGTCAAAAGGCAAAGCTGGAGGAAATGTAGTTCACAAGTAAGGCTAAGAGGTGATTGGGGTGTAACAGAGGCAGAGTCGTCTATGGCAAGTTATTTGAATGCAATAGGAAAGCACCGATTGATTTCAGGATGTTTGTTTGTTGTAGGAAACCTTCAGACAGAGCAGACTGGCCCATGAGACTCAAGAGCTTTTATATCTTCAGAGGCATTGTTAAGAGCATGTATCATACACACTCATCAACCGGTGTCATTTGCCTCAGTCATTTGTGTCGGCCCTCGGGTGCCAATGCACCAGTTGGCATATTTCCAAAGTACGTATTACTTGAGTCATCTTGCCCTTTCTCTTCGACTTTTTGGTCAGTCTGAGCAATCCTGATGCCCAAGAAAGGCCAACCTTATGTTAGTTGCAGAGGTCGGCTACTCAGTTAGATCAAGGGAAGTACAAAGGAGACCGTTTCGAAGCTATGGCTTAGATTCACAACCGGTGCTGGTCGGCGAAACTCTTTAGCGTACACTGCACAGCAGGGCCGGTTGGATGCCCCCGTGTCGGATTCCGATGCCCATCCGTGGCCCGGCCAACGGGAAAACACCCCCATGGACGTGCTGTGTAAACTTGTCTCGTGGGCGTACCCTGACAACCTCAAACAGCATCCACTACTGCAACAGGGATTCATCCCAGCCTTCACATTTCAGTGTCGCCTCAGCTGGGAGGCGTTGAGATGAACTCCCAAGAGTACGGCCCTCCACGGCCTAGGCCAACAAATCATCTCCGATGAGAGCCTCGAGGGCAGCCGCCCAGGGTCTCTGTCCTGCGGTCAGCGTATTGCGACACACTGCGACGCATGCCGACTACGGGAGTGAGGCAGATGCAGCGCTTTATGCGGTGCAAATAGTGTCACCAGTCAGCGTAGGCACTCACCACTTGTGTGGCTGAGAAAGCAATATAAATCAAAAAAACTTTGCGCCCTGCACGCACTCCTATACCAGAAAACTAGAGGCGTCCCCTATGGGTAGTAGCCCCCTACCAGTTGTATATGAGTGACGAGCGGCACGGACAACATTGGAGGTTCAAGTTTCAACTGATCATCAGATCTTTCTCCACTTGCTTCGGACATCTTGTGTTGTGGTTAAGGTTTGTTTGGTTCTCAAACACGTTAAGATTGTTGATCATTTGAAAAGAGAAACAAAAAAATGCCGGTCTGTCAAGTGAGAAAAAACAATACAACACAAAACAAAGAGAAACCAAACGTGTCTTGTTGATAGGAAAAGTAGCTTTTTGCTAGGGTACTTGCAGCATATTTACATTTTAGTAATAGTACCCATACTCATCAATCCCAGGACAATCATTGATAATCCCACTCCACTTCTTCACTCTTACTTATTCTCCTCCTCCTTTTCCTCACTCGAATCATCATCATTATCATACTTAGTCCGACTCATCAACAGGATCATGAACTTCATTGTTTTCGTTTAGGGGCGAAATTCCGAATAGCGATTTGGTATTGAATCTTCCACATCAGACACCATTCACGAGACTTTCTGACATGCGCTCGATCGGCAGGAGAATCCAGAGTGGCCAGATGGGTTTCGACGGTCTTGATGATGTAATTGAACCACACGAGGAAGGCGTCTAATTGGAGGATTGCTCTAGAGGTCAGTCGCTCCAAGATCATCGTCGTGAACTTTCGGAGATCTTCCTCTAGTCCCTCGGTCTTGTTGTAGAACTCCTTCAAGTCGGCCAAACTCATCTTGTAAATCAAGAGCTGATCGCTGGCTGGAGTTTTGCATAATTTGACCAACAGAAGTCGACAGATCTTCAATAATGGGATATAAGCTTGGAAGGTTTGGATATCCGCTTTGTTCATCTCTTCTAGTGAAGGCCAAGGATGTACCATCGGCTCATCCACTCGACCATTTGGATTGGTATTTTTACAGGCCGCCCGTGGCTTCAAGCAGTTGCCTACGGTCATGTGCATGATTTCGATCTCCCGAGCGACGTATTTCCACTTGGCTTTCAGCACCCTACGCGGATCCTCGAAGTCCCCATGCATCCGATCAACAGATTCCAATAGCTCGCGTAGGGACGGTGTCCTCATGTCGCCAGACGGGGGTTCTTTAGCTTTTAAGGTCTTGATATACTCCTTGAATGCCTCGATAATCCCGTCCCGAATCTGATCGACCTCCCAAGGAAGATCGGGGAAGTAGTAGGGGTCGAGGGCATAAGTCGAAATTTTGGACGTTTGATTCGAGCACGGTGAGGTGACGCTAGATTTGAGTTGGTTGATCTCAGTCGCGACGAGTTTCATCAAACCGACCTGCGAGGCTGGGTTCTCGGAAGACAGCACTTGCTGTAATCGGGCGGGGACGAAAACATCGGAGATTTCGACGAGGTGTTGACGCAATCGGGGGACAAGTGATCGCTCGACCCGATAGTCATGGGCCTGGCCTCCTAAGCGAAGCAGTAACTCTTGCCATGCTTGACCTTCCGGACCGTTTTCGATCAGCGGTATGGCCTCTTTGAAGGCTTTAATGAAGGCAACTGGTAACATCGAGCAAGCAAGTAAAAATTCGAAGTTCGAGTTAGCAGGATCTACATGTTATTGTTATCATCAAAAAAAAAAAAAAAAAACATCACATTGAATCTCTCAACTTACGACGAGTCGCCGCCGATTGTTTCCATACTTTCGACGGCTGGAGCGGTGATGCTGGCGGTTCAGATTTGATTTGAAGTGATGCTATCAAATCGCGTCCAGCTCGTAGTTCTTGCTCGATTTCTTGAGGGCTTTTAGTAAACATCTGATCAGTGGATTGTTCCGAGTTGGAAGAAGCAAAGCGTGGCACAGACGGTCAACAGTGAACCAGCGGAGGGTCAAGTTCCAAATCGGGATCCTTGAAACCCCCCGTTGACATCGAGGAGCCCACGGTCACACCTCACATCTTGATGATATTGAAGGTTATCATGATGGTTTTTGATTTTTTAAACCCTTGATAGGATGATGTTTTTACATTTTGTTAGGAACGCTTTTAGCAGAAAAAACAGCCCAAAAACCACTAAAATGCGCTGTAGCACAGTGTAGTGGGCCCTTTTTTGGGGCCCACACGTGCAGCGGTAGTGCAGTCGTGGCAGAATTCCACTGCGCTACGCTAAGCGTTAGCGGAATTCTGCCACACTACGGTACGCTAACGCTACCATTAGCGTAGTGGGACCACCGTTGTTATAAGCATGAGTAGGTCATCCTAACTCCTGTGATCACATAGAAATATGCTTGTAATGAATGTACATAATTATTTCCAAGAAGCATGTCCTTACAAGTAGAATATGATTGCAAAGTGGCTGACAATGTGAATGCATCTTGAGGGACAATCCTTTTTGGGTGTGAATCAGCAAGATTTTACAAATTTTCCTTGTTGCAATAACTCAAATGAGTATATGCCAGAGTAATTCAGGGGTCTTGCAATGTAGGTAATACACCGGCAGATTCCTTGTCCACAGAACCCCATGGTTTTGATGAAGTGTCAACTTGATTCAATTCTACTCTGAGTGTTTGAGTCAACTGGTATGGTTTTATGGACCTTTTTTCCCTCAACAAGATGAAATGCACTGAGAGGCCACCCCTGACATAATGTATTGGTTGACAAAAAAATCCCCCTTGAAGGCAGCATAACATAGCATAGTGGCACTAACAGCGCACCAACACTCAAGGTTTGGCGCGCTGTTTTGAGGACTGTTACGCTAATGTTAGTGGTTGTTTAGCGTAGTGTAGTGTAGCAGCCCATTGTTGCTTATAATAAAGAGATCACATGTTCAATAGATGTTTCCTTCTTTTTTCCCATAAGAATTGGAGACATTACTAGTGGAGAAACACCTTAATTCCCCAGAAAAAACAACCAGACAAGCACCTGACCCAACTGGACAAACTACTGAACACTATAAGGCTGGAGGGTTGAGTGGACCATCAAAATCATGTTTCTGCACCACAAACCTTACTCATGAGTGAGGAGGACACACCTGACAAGGCCAACATTCCATTTTTTCTGTTTGTTTTTCTTTTTCTTCCTTTTTTTGCTCTCCACTTTCCCTTTTCTTGTCCAAATTTATCCTATGTTTTGTTTTGTACAAGAAACAAATGGGGAGCAAAAAGAAGGGGGGAAAATGGAATGTTGTCCATGGGTTTGCCCTCCTCACACAGCAAGGTTTGTGGTGCATGAGGAACATGATTTTTCAAGCTCCACTCAAGCCTCCAATTTAGTTAAATCCTTGCTCAGTGGTTTGTCCAGTTTAGTGAAACACTTGTCCTGTCACTTTTCCTGTGCAGGAAAGTGTTTGTCCAGTATTGTCTCCAATCCTTCTGGAAAAAATAGGGAAAAACAGAGGGGAAAAATTTTTATCAACTTGATTGTCTTTGGGGATAAGTATGACTAAAGGTTTCTTACCCAGCCGGTCATACCATAAGTCAAAACACACAAGAATGGCAAAGCAGACCTTGGTAAGACAAACCCATAATCACAAGTTGGCTCCAAAGACCTTCTTATATACTCAATCTCGTCAACATTCTTCTAATTGTTGAATGGGACTTGATTTCAATAGTAGAAGTTGAAGCTAGTTCTACTGCCAGATAATATATGAAGCAAACCATTTTTCCTCCTAAAACAAGTCAGTTGAAAGAATGTTTTGATAGTAGATATCAGAACTACCAATGATGTCCTGGCTCACCCGATGGCCCCCGGCATCAATGCAATTGAAACAATGTAGGGATAAGTCATGGGCTCCGGGATGAATTTGGTATGATAATTGTGATGCAATTAAACTCGATAAAGAAAGAATACATGATCAGAGTTTTTCATTTTTTGGAGCGTTTACTGCGACGAGCGGGGGTTTCACGAGCTGGGGCTTTGCGTTTACTAGATTGGGGATCGTCCGGGCTCGTGCCATCGGATTGAGCAGGCTCGTGTGTTGTTACTTTGCTAGACGACCGGGCTGCTTTTATCTCCACAGACGGCCATCCGCCGTTGACACCCAAGTTTCTGACCACCTCAAAAGCTTCTACTGATACCGGCTGGACAGAGAGTCTGCCTCGGTTTAAGAGCGGCATGTCTTTGATCGCTTGTAAGTCTTTCGAGGTCAGGTAATCAGGTGGGCTTACTTTCCCGTTGACCAAATTCTGTAGCAGTTTGAGAGGCACGAAACTTGGGAGACGAGAAACAAATTTGACATCGACCTGGAATATGGAAGATTGAAGTTAATGGGAGATCAGTAATGCCAAAGAAGCCCGAAAAGGTTGGCGCTGATCTGACTGGAAAGCCCGTTTATAGGGGTGGCGGAGACTGACCATGAACCAAATTGGCGTACTTTCCACTGACTTGGGATCATAGTAAGGGTGGGATGGATCAAAGGCAGTGACTGTAAGATAGGCCATAAGAAGATTCTATATCATCAAACTTCAGGATTAGCGTGCACAATCAGCTCAGAATTCTACTGACAATCTGGATAGCCTTCTTTATCAATCTCAGCAATTCCAGCGATTCCGGGAACTTTGCCTATCAAATAATAATAATATCCATTCAGTTGATCAGATCATCGAAAAGAGAAAAAACAAAACACCAGGAAATTGGATTACAAGATAAATATATAGAAATATGAAAGAGCCCACAATTTGAATGATAAAATAAAACATGATCGCCCTTCTTCATCTTTTCTTTCATCAAGTTCTTGGCCTCATGATCTGTGAGGATAGCGAGTGGATCAAGATTTCCGGCAAGATGAAATAGCAAGGGCCAAGTTTAATGTGACCATCCCATCATACGGTCGACACGCTCGATTTGAGGAATTAAATTATCAAATGAACGTGTGATCTGTCTTTCTTTTTTATTTTTGCTTGTACTCAACTTCGTACACCATCCCAATGCTCAATTCCTATTTTTTCAAGATCATCAATCTACACACAAACAGACAAAAAAAAAAAAACAATTAATTTTGCAATCACGCAAAGTTATCTCTCATGAATCGAATTGGAGAGGCGCAAGAAAAAGCAGAAATGACTGAACTGAAAATGCAACGTCCTTTCCTATTGATTGTTTATAATGACATAAGATAGGTCAGGAGTGGACGAAATAGAAAATCAATCGCATAATAATCAGACATGTATCTCGTCTGCATCTCGATTTTCTTTTCACTCGTCGTACAGGTAATCAAGTCGCGTAGTTTTTTTCTTCTCTGTTTTTCTAATTTTGGAATGAACTCTTCGTACCTTTCACGATCCTAGGTTCGGGTTCAGCCTGGCAAGAAGAGATACTTTTAAGCAGGTCTTGTACTTGAAGTTCAGATTTGAGGTGATAGGATCACCATTCTAACAGATGAAGTATGCAAAGTGAGTTGGGCTTACTTTCATGAGCCAGGCGCTAGGCAAAGGTTCCATCTTGATGCCTGTCTAATGATTACTGAATTCTGTGGGTTTTCATAGGAACTGGATCAGCTTTGAGAGACACTAATTGCGAACCAAGTCAAAGTGATAACAGAGGAAGTGCTTGTTCGCTTACCGTCACACGATTTGTATCCTATTAATTTATAGGTTTTCTTGGTTTGAGTCTGGTGAACCTGGTTGAATGCGCTCCAGCCTGTCAACTGCCATGAGGTCACCACCTGTCGCCACATGGGGTACTGGCTGGGTGTGGATACTTTGGAAGTGTCCAGTCGGGATGAAGTCTTGGGCCAAGGATGGCAGGCAGTTGAGCCGCCCCCACTTTGACGAAACGCTTTTTACATTGTAACCCGGGGGCAGGAGGGACGGTCACGAAATACAGTATCAGGATGTCAATGGTCAAATCTCTCGAGTCCCACAAGGACCTCCAAGGCTTCATCGACCGATTCGATAACTTCTTGTTCGACTGTGACGGGGTGATCTGGCACGGGGAAGAGCTCATCAAAGGGGTCCGGACAGTCTTGGAACTCCTACGCAAATCGAATAAGAAACTCATCTTCGTCACCAATAATGCGACCAAGAGTCGGGAAGCTTTTAAAGCTAAATTCGATCGTCTCGGCATTCAGGCTGACCTGGTCTGTAAAACATCATTCCCCCCCTCTCCCTGTCTCTCTCGCTCTATCTTCAATCCATTGGATGAAGCCTAGTTTTGCCGCATTAGAATTGACGTCCGTTTTTTCCCTTCTCCTTCTTATCCAATGTAGGACGAAATCTTTGGCTCAGCTTATGCAACTGCACTATACCTAAAACGGATCTTGAAATTTCCTGACGACAAGAAAGTATATGTGATTGGCGAGAAGGGCCTGGAGGATGAACTAGCCAGTGAAAACTTAAAATTTTGTGGGGGTACTGTCAGTTGATAAAACGTTATAGGAATGAGAAATGATCTCGGGTCTTCGCTGAGTCAAATTCTTTTTGGATCACTTTTCTATAGGACCCAGCCGATAACGAGTTCATAGACCTTATGGATTTTTCCTCTATCCAGACAGACAAGGACGTGGGTGCTGTGATGTGTGGATTTGACATGCACATCAAGTAAGATATTTCAATTATCAGATAACCATATCATCTCCTCATGCTGTGCGTTTTGTTTGATTATTAGCTATAAAAAACTGGCGAAGGCTCATCGGTATCTGCATGAAAATCCTGACTGTCATTTCATCTTGACAAACGATGATTCTGTAAGTAACCGACTGTCAGATTTTCCTTATCACCGACTCCATTTGAACACAACGTACCACGATTTTTTTTTTTTTTTTGACTGCAAGCAAAGATGAATAACTCCTTCATTTTTGACCTTTTGAATTGATCCTATATGATATCTGACCTGGATGACGTCTGGCTAAATAACAAATGGTATGGATGATGATCAGACTTTTCCCACTGACGGTTCACTTTTCCCGGGCTCGGGTGCTATTTCAGCCCCTCTAAGATACGCAATGTTGGGCAAGAAGGATCCGATTGTTGTGGGTAAACCAAACCAACCCATGCTGGATTGCATCCTAGAAAAGTCAGTTTCATTCCCCCCCCCTCCCTCCCTCATTATCAAAAATACACAAGAAGAGTGGACTGACAAAATGAGTCCATCTCCTCCCTCCGGCCCGCCCGATAGACATAAGCTTGAGCCATCTAGGAGTTGTATGATTGGTGATCGGTTGGATACTGATATCGCTTTTGGGATCAACGGTGGTCTTTCAACCCTCTTGGTCCTCACTGGCGTCGTCACAAGGGCTGATATCTCCCAACCTCAAGCCAAGATCTTACCAGAGTATGTCATCGACAGCTTGGGTGACTTTGCGGTCTTGTCCCCATGATCATCCATGGCTCGGGTTTCCCTTTTTTTACCGACCGTCATTTTAACCGGATCATTTCAGTCTGGATCTCCTTTGGATGTCTGAAGGTTGGGTTTGGAAGCCACTGCAGTACTTCGTGTATAGATCTCAGCTGTCTGTATCCTTCAAAAAAAGACGATCCAATACAACATTTTTTTTGGGAAAGATAAATCAAACAACACATTTAACACCAAAAGAAAACTACAAGTGTTGCTGTGTGTATTGATTTTTTGGAAGACAGTGAAATCAATTGAAGCTTTCTAAGAGGACTAGAATGGATGGTGTTATAAAGAGAGCAAAACAGAAATCTGAATGGAGCGCCAGTTTCAAGGCCAAAAAAAACTCGAAATAGATAATGATTGTTTTTCTTGGTCCTTTATTCCCTTGAGGAATAATGGAAATAGGAAAACAAATCAGTTAAATTGAGAGATCACAGCGTAGTCCATCGATCTTGAGCAATCTGCCCTGGCTATGTCCGGATCTAATCCGGGTCGGGTAGACCCACGGGCCGACCCGACCCAGGGGGGGGGCTATAGAAGGGCGTAGCGACAAGCGCTGCACCGGCTTGCAAAGGGGCTACATAATCAAAACTGGTCGTTCGGAGTCCATTGCAGCCGAGCTTCAAGCACCAAACCATTCATCGCCAATATCAATTGAGGGTTTGAAGATTAATGTGAGTCATGTCCCTAATGGACATAGCTCATCAGGATAATAACGACCAATTTGCATTCTCTATGCAGACATTTATAGGCACACAACCCTTTTGCGCCGCTGCCATTACTCACATCCACAGCATGGCACATCTGGCTATAGACTCACTGCAGAGCTCTGCCCCCAGTCTGATGACAAACTTTGCAGCTCCACTTACCATCGAGAGCCGTGTGTCGCTAAATTCAGGTGAGCATCATAGTGTTGTCAGCCTAAGCAACCGGTCACCCAAAAGTCATGACCATTCTTACATTAGCCTCTTAGGTCATCGGATGCCAATATTGGGGTTTGGCACTTGGAAACTAGAGAGGGCCGAGGAAGCATGCAGCGAAGCAATCAAGATTGGATATCGACACCTGGACTCGGCACGCATCTATCGGACTGAGGCCGATGTTTCTAATGCTGTCCAGAAAAGGTAAGTCATTGCCTTTCTCCGATGCATGGTTGTACCGCACCTGCAAAGGCCGCTTCCGAAAGATCCCATTGATACAGCAGAGAAAATGGGCGACGTATGACTAATTTGCTTGCTTCATCTTTTAGCACCGAAGATCGCGGCTCCATGTTCCTGACAACCAAAGTTAGACGAAATGAACATGGCTACGAAAGTTGCAAGAAAGCCTTACTGGATTCGATTACTGCTCCCAAACCAGAGTATTGGGATTTGGTTCTCCTGCACGACCCGCTTAGTGGACCGGAGGCACGTCATGAAGCGTATCGCGCGTTGGGTGAATATGTGCCCACGTATTCTCATCATCTCACTGTCTGTCCGAGCTCACAATAAATTTTCGTTGCTGACAAACCCTTAGCTGAAGCTCAACAAGCTGGAAAAGTCAAATCGATTGGTGTTTCTAATTTCGGGGTGGATCATCTGGAAAAGTTGCAAGAAGCTGATGTGGGGCCAACACCTGCTGTCAACCAAGTTTGTCACAATTATCAGTTATACCTCTTTCTGAGTCATGTCTTAATTCATCTAGCGACTTTTTGAATGATTATTCATGTAGCTGACAGCACTTTACCTCCTATTCTCAGCTTGAGCTACATCCTTGGTGTCAGCAAACCTCCATTGTCGAATACTGTCGCTCTAAAGGGATCATAGTCCAAGCATATTCTCCCCTTGCTAGAGGACAATACTTTTCGGATGATACAGTGGTAAAGATTGCAAGCAAAGTAAGCCGAAATATCTTCATGGAAGTCAGAGAGTAAAATTGAACAAGTTCTCACGTGATATGTGCTATTCTAACACCCTTAATTAACAGGTCCGCAAGACCCCAGCCCAAGTCCTGTTGCGATGGTCACTTCAGAAGGGCTTTGTGCCATTGCCGAAATCAAGCAGCCCAGAACGTATGAAAGAGAATGCCAGTATATTCGACTTTGAATTGGAGGATCAAGATATGATCGAGTTGGACAGTTTGAACAAAGATGACAAAGGTTCAGTGACCTGGACACCTTGCTTTAAAGGAGTAAAATAGTGGATGTAAATAATTTATCTGTCCCATAAAATACTCATACTGCACATACACAAAGCACTGAGATCACTTTTCTTGTAAACCCTTGTAGCATTTGGGATCCAAACACAGTTTTTGATCAACTCAGCAACATCACCATCTGTCATGATAGTATACATCTTAGCTATGGTACTGCTGATCATGTGGGATACATTAAGTCAAGTCTGAGATAAGGGATACTTCATACTTGCCACTTGGTGACCACCTGGAAATGCAAGCAGTCATACAGTGAATATTTGAGATGAAAAGTGGAGCCAGCTCCTGTATGTGATTTTTAGTCAATCATGTGCACTCAGAAGCTTGTTGCAATCTTACCAGGCTTGCACCCAACTTCCAAGGATTGCACAATGGTGCATTTTGTCCTTGCACCCCCTCACGGGTGGCCAATGAGTTTAGAAGATGGTCTCTCACAAGAGCCTCACGCGCCCCTCCTGAAAACCCTAGATACCCTAGGGGACCAGGAAGGGCTACAGGTGATGCTGTTAAGGCCTCAATAGTCCAGGCAGCACCTGGAACCTGTGCAGAGATGGAAAATGTGTAGATGGATTGGTTTGGGAGAGACAGGAGCGCATAGCGGATGTGTCTGAAGTCCAAGACCCCAAGCTCTTGGAGCCATGCCCCAAGCTGAGAGGTCAGGACACCAGGCAAAGCACAGCCCCTAGGCTTCACTAGAGAGGAGAGTTATAACCTCACCCTTGACTAAGTAAATTTTCAATGTATTGGAGATCCTAAGATCCAAACAGGTTCCTGGTCAAACTTGGCCCAATGTCAATTATGTTGTTAGAAATAACTGCAATTTGGCATAGTTGAGGGTAATCCAGATTCACAAATGATTGCAATCTATTACAAGTTAAGGGGTCAATCCAAATGAGATCCAAGATGAAAAATGATTATCAAGTATGAACTTCTAGAATCCATGGATCCTCACAGCACCTATTTTAATATAGGGGCTTGGTTGAACGACTAAAAATTGGAGAGTTGACTCCCAAGCCCCAAACTCCCCAAAATATGGGAGTCAAACCCCCAAAACCTTTTGGGAGTGTAGCTCTCAACAGTCAAGAGTGTATACACTCTTGACCTGTTGGGAGTGTAGCTCTCAACAGTCAAGAGTGTATACACTCTTGACCTGTTGGGAGTGTAACTCTCAACAGCCAAGAGTGTATACACTCTTGACCTATTGGGAGTATAACTCTCAATAGCATACACTCTTGACCTGTTGGGAGTGTAACTCTCAACAGCATACATTCTTGACCTGTTCCAGTTGGGAGTGTAACTCAAAAGCCAAGAGTTTATACATTCTTGACAGGCAAGAGGCACACTCTTGGCCGTTGAGGTGTGCACCCAATGGCCAAGAGTGTGTACACCCTAAACCCGTTGAGAGGGGCATGGTCATTGAGAGTGTACCTCTAAACAGCCAAGTTTATACACTCTCAATGGCCAAGAGGTACACTCTCAGGCATTGAGGTGTGAACCCTCAACAGCTGAACATGGTCTCTCAGCTGTTGAGGGCATACACTCTCAATGACTTGGAGTGTACACTCTTGACTGTTGAGAGTGTGCTCTCAGCAGCCAGGAGGAATACTCCCAGCCATTGGGGACTGTTTTTGGTTTGCCAACCCCCAAATCCCAGTGGGTTTTGGGGCACTGACTCCCAACCCCTCCGGGGGTTTCATTTTTTTTATTTATTTACAATTCTTGGGGATCCAACTGCTAAACCTGCTGATGGGCTTGGGGGATAAACTCCCAATTCTTGGGGAATTTGGAGGAGATTTTGGGGTTTGAGAATCATGTCAGACACTGAGACACTAGCCCAGGTGTCTAAAAGAGAGTGTAAACCCCTTGGGTTACCTAACAATAAATTTTTATTAACATTATTCCTTAAGTTAATCATGATTCACCTCTGTAAATATTTATCTCTCTCTGAATAATCAATGTACCTCTCTCATGAAATTAATAATCAAATTAAAAAGGATGATTATCTCTTGTGTTTATTCAAGTGATGTTTATCTTGTGTATCTTTCTTGTGTATCTCTCTTGATCATCCTCTGAAATAGAGATATTCTTTCTTCCACCAAAGGAATAGTGTCACAATGAGGGGACTGCACCCGTTGTGGTAAGAATAATCAAACCCATAGTCTATAATTAAAATCATTTTATTACATATAAATAGTAATTAAAGCATTAAGGGAAAAAGGGTAAATTACAAAATAAACCACACAAATAATATTGGGTTAAATGACAGTTAAATTAAAACATGAATCAGGCCTAAAATATTCAATTCCTCATGAATAATAATTATACAAATAGCCTAGAGAAATACATGAAAGGTACTACATCTATCTTAGACTGGTAAAATCAAGTTACTAATCAGAAAGTACCTTACAGACTAGATCTAGAAAATAACTCTTATACTAATTAGTCTTAGAATACCACTGATGTAGGAAATAAACTAAGATTAGACATCTTGCAGAAGAATTACAACCTCTGATACCAGAAGGACACTTAAAGATTAATCCATATCAGATTAGATCATCTCAGAGTAGTAAAATCCACTCTAGAAGTACCATTCTCAGACGCACTTATAAATCTCATGTACAGCAAAACCATTTGTCTATAAATAGAGGCTCTTCTGGCCCATGTTTTCCTCTTCCCTCCTGATGCTAGCTTCAGAATAGTAATCAGAGATATTACTTAGCTTTCATCACCCCTTGATCAAGAAATCCAGAGAAATATTAGAGCCCCTTTGAACATCCCTTTATCTCTTATTTTGGCCACAGAAAAGTAATTCAGAAATATTACTTAGCCATTCTCAACTCTTTGAAAGATATTGGAGAAATAAGTGTACCATCAGTGGTGGGCCGCTACGCTACACTACGCTAAACGGCCCACTAACGTTAGTGTAGCGGCCCTCAGAACAGTGCGCCAAACCTGTAGTGTTAGCGCACTGTAAGTGCCACTACGCTATGCTATGCTATGCTATGCTACGCTGCGCTGCAGCGCTTTTAGCGGCAAAAACGGCCAAAAAACTGCTAAAATGTGCTGTAGCGCAGCGTAGTGGGCCCTTTTTTGCATCCCACACACGTAGTGTTAGCACAGATACAGAAATCTGCGCTAACACTACGCTGCAATGTAGCATATTTGTGCTACACTACGCTAGGCTAACACAACCATTAGCGTAGCTGGCCCAGCGTTGGTACCATTTATCAGAGCCCAGAGAAACCATAGAGTCTTATTAGACCAGAGAACCAGAGAGAATTTATAACATATTTAACAGAGATACCCTTCAGAAACCCTTACTACTCAGAAGCCCCCACAATCACCTTACCTCCTAAACAGGTGTTCTTAAGCAGCAATAATAGTAGTATCAAAACTAGATAAATTTAGAAATAAGCCACACTCTTATTTTTCTTAGTGTAGCTTTCCCGCGAGCCAGACAGGAGGACAGTCTCACCCACACACATATACTAATTCTACTATTTTATAGTCTTATTAGCTATTTTATCCCCTCCAAGCTCTTTACTCACTTGCTGAGCAGTTTGACACCGTCCCAGCAGCAGTTTGACCCCTGCTATGTAAAATTCAAGGGGATGACTCTTTCCCTCAGATTCATCCCCCAGAAAATAATTACCATACAAAACCACCAACCTTACTAAAATATACTAATTAGTGAGTGGGTTTTTGAGTAGTCTATTATCTAAATTACAAGTTGTACATTTCTCTTTTTCTCATCACTAGTCTATGGAAAATTGATGTCCTTACTTCATAGACTAGTACACCTCTTTTCTCTCAACTTCTCAAAGATCAGGCACTGTGAAGCTCATCCCACAGCTGTCCCTTATTTATATAAGAAGCTAGCCCCTCCACCTTGTGGTGTTGAGGTGAGATTTATTTCCACTGGCCAATTCTGTGGCTATAGTGTGACACTTCACCCCATCAACTCTTGGTCACATAAGAGATCAGACCTGACAAGTTGACTCTCCAAATTTTGGAAGTCAATTAGCCAAGCCCCTTTTTTTTTATCTGATATGTAGATTTATTAGATTATTTTTACATTTTAGTCTCTTTCAGGTTGTCTCTGCCATAGTAGCAAGCTGACATTGATAGATATCTCAAAAGTCAGGGCCAAAAAAATCATGGGAAATTTAGAACCAGGCTGAATAAATTCTCATATCATTTACCTTGAAAATTTTCTATAGGTTCACAAGGCCCCAGCCCAAGTCCTGTTGTGTTGGTCACTCCAAAGTGGCTTTGTAAGAGCATCTCCCCCGCGGGCCCTATATTGGGTCCCTATCGCACATGAAGGGACCGCAAGGCCCAAAACCACAGCCACAGCGGCCCCTATGTGGGGCCCTATAATAGGGATGATGGCCAAAAGTCCCTATTGAGCTGTATGTATACAGACTCGATAGGGCCTGGCTGATCGGCCCTATGCTGCATGAACCTTCCAACATTGGAAGGTTTCACACATCCTCAAGTACAAAACAACTCCGACTGATTGGCTTTCACCAACCATCAAGCCCAATACACCCGCTAGTGGTGGGAAAAAACCCCTGGCTTGGTTGCTATTCACTTTTTTGGGTCCCTATTGGAGGCATATAGGGCCCGCGGTGGAGATGCTCTAATGCTGCCAAAATTGGATAACCCCAAACACATGAAGGAAAATGACGACATATTTGACTTTGAACTTGATGAACAAGACATGATCAGCTTGAATGGTCTTAACCAAGTAAAAGACCAGCCTGTTAGCTGGACTGCTCAATTTGAAGGGGTTGAATAGTGTTTTGCACAGAACAGGCAGCAGCAAATGCAATGGAATGCCAGTCTTATGCCCATGTATAGTTTTTGTGTGACTAAAATGACCTATTCACAAAGAATTTAAATGACCTTTTTAACTTCAATCAAGACTAAGAATGTGAATTCAGCATTCATCCCTTTGTGCTAGGAGCGCAGCACTGTTTGCACATCTCAGTTATGACATCTCTTCAAATTTTATTTTCTGATGCAACAGATTGGAAATTAAATGTGAATTCCTTGTTTCTTGTGCAAACTTACTTTCAAAACCAGATTAGCCTGGACTTCTTTGCCATAATTACAAACAGTGGTAAAAGGTCTTCAATATGTGGCCTGCTCAACTCATGAAAAACAACTTCAAATTTTCTTTTGATGAACTGAATGATGCAAGATCCTTCTGAAATCTACATCTAGACTTCTGCAGACAGAATGACATTATGTTGGGTGAAAAGCGGTGAAATTCTGCTCAGATCAAGAAACAAATGTAAATCAAGAGAAAAAATTGAAATTGCATGTCCGCTATAATTTGTAAATTTGACCAGATAGGTTATGAACCATTTTGATTGGAATTATGATGTAATCACATATTCTGGCGTATCCAGATGGGATAGTGATTGCTCTAGACTAAAGCTACAACGGTCAATGAAATTAAATATCGACAATTTGAACTTTGATTGAGCCAGATTCCGGGTTGGCCGAGGTGTGAAAGGCCTCGACCGCTTCTTGCAATGGAAATCTATGAGTAACTAATGGCTTGACATTAATCAATCCGCTAGATACCAGCTTGATTGCCTTCGGGTATTGGTTGGCATAGCGGAACCTATTTTGATAAGAAAAATCCATTCATCAGTACCGGGCATTCCAAAAACAACATTATGAGAATTCAAATCAATCCTGCTTTCTATGGAGTTCCCAACGGATCACACAACTTCTTTGAATCTGCTTACTGAAATTGGACATCGATTTGGTTTTCAAACATGTAGGTATGAGGAAACAGTTGCTCATCCTGGCCACATCCGATCATAAACACCTTTCCTCCAAATTTGACACTCTGTCAAGAGAATTTTGTGACCAGAAGCAAGGCGCGCAGCACAAAAAAAGAACCAAATCAGTTCAAACACCTTGCTCTTCTCAGTTCTTTTTCTGCCTGTTTCTTCGAAAAGATAGAAGGTGTCAATGAGTAAAATTAGAGGCTTGCAGAAACATACAAATATCGCTGTTCTAACGGAAGACTGGCGGCCAGTACACTCGAGAGCAACCTGTGGCTTCTCCCCCATGAGATGTTGAATTTGTTGACCAAGCTCTACCTCAGATACTCCTTGCGTAATCCGAAACGTGGAAACAGAGGGGACTGTTCGTTTTGCAAAGTCCAATCGGCTCTCAGAAATATCGGTAATTGCGATGGGACAAGCACCGGCAGCCTGACAGGCCAGTAAAGTGACCAGTCCGATTGGCCCCGCTCCGCAAATCAACACCGGATCTCCTAGTTTTACTCCAGCATGCTCAACGCTAGCCAGAGCGACAGCCAAGGGCTCAAGCAATGCGCCCTCTTCAAAGGACACGTTGAGTGGCAATTTGTGAACCCAACAAGCGGGATGGGCGTGGAAACGAGTCAATAAACCATGGTAAGGTGGCGTCGAGAAAAATACGACGTCTGGACAAGCGTTGTAGCGACCTGAGAAAGAAGAGGCAGAGTTCAGTTGATTCATCCGCTCATATATGGGTGTCTCAGCTACGAGATTCCTACTGTACTTACCGGTGCGACACATCTCACACGTCGGTTTGGAACATGGTACGCCGGCTTCAATAGCTACGCGATCACCTGTGGCAGAGGAACCAATTTATTTAAATCGCGTAGTAATCAGATAAATTGATGCTGACAGATATGAGGCAGATACTTACCAACTTTCACGTCTGCGACACCTTCACCAACACCAATAATTTCTCCGGCCGATTCGTGGCCTGCTCCACACTGAAGGGCGTCGGTTTGAAATTAGATTAGGAAGCAAATGGAAGAAAGGTGCTGATAAATGATCAGTCTCAATCAGAGCCACTCGAAAACACGCGACGAGAATATCATTACCTCATGCTTCACCACCATTTTTCCAACCTGAGGAGAAAAAACGTTAGAAATAGAAATCACTACTTATGAACAAAACGCGACCAAAAGCTTACTCCGGCGTGTTTCCAGAAGTGCACATCACTGCCACAAATTCCAGTCGCGCGAATACGTAATAACACTTGACCAGGATGGAGTTTAGGCATCGGTTTTTTGACCATGAGGATCTTTTCATTGTTGGACAGCGAAAAAAAGGCACAAGTGTGTAAGAGCTTCAACCAGGGACAAAGCAGGGAAAGGCTATGAATCAAAGACATGAAAAACTCACCTGTTTCTTCTCATTATAACAACAAGCAATGTTCTTATTTGATTCGGAGTAACGTTGTACTTGAGCAGGTTCATTCAATATTTCGAACTCTTCGGAGTCCAAAACTATTCTCGGATCATACAAAGCTTTATTGATTGAGATGAAAGTTGGTTCCATGATGGCTTGATCCATGTTTTCTTTGTTTAGTGTTTCAATAGCAATGTGGAACTCCCCCTAGTGAGCTTTCTGGGTCAATCAAAAAAATAAAATAAATAAATGCGAATCTAAACTTATCTTCCCTTGTTGCACATCGCGAAAACGATCGTTGCGCAGCGAAGTCTTTATGCAAATGGGCCAGAGGAACCCAGGATCGAAATACAGACACAGACAATTGCATACCACCTACTGGATGTTTGGTTTTATTTTGAGCACATCTTACCGACAACTTGAACTGTACGTACAATTTTGTATTCAAAATTAACCTTTCATTTTCTTTTCTTTGTTTTCTGAACTGTCTGAAGTTTTCTGAACACGTCGATGTCATCCTGTATACATAAATATGCACGAGCGCTGTGTGGCCGTTACCGTCCTGAGCTGTCCTGGCGTCATGTCATTTGAAGCCAATCGAGTTTCTCATGCACTTGCTGACGTCACCAGATATTTATTTCGGTGAATCAAATTCGAAAAGCAAAATGTAAATTGTCGAAACTCAGTTCGGATCAGTGGAACCGTCGCCGTAACCTCACAATCGCGACTGGAGAATGCCGTAGATAACCATCCCTATTTTTCGGGGACCGGCCCAATCAGGCCCAATCCCAATGCTCCAAGGGACGAAGCGACTACCGCCCTCCAAAGCCCGCTTTGGATTCAACCCTCAAGAATTCCGCCCGTCCTAACGACAACATGAAGGTCTTAATTCACCATTACAAAGGAATCAAACATACCAGTCCAAAGCTCAAACAGTTTTACGGGTGTGGAATTCGGCATGTTCAACCTCTAAAACAGAACGAAACACAAGCGAGAGCCGATGAGATTGCCAAAGGATATTCGTAGTTGAATGGAGTGGCACAGGTTTGTTTGCCTGGAGCAAATCTGGAAATCTGGCACATGGCTAAAGCAGATAAAGGGCTGGCCCTCAAGTGAGAGGTAAATATTTGTGTATAACCCGAGACGCGCTCCCTGGGGTTAAGGTATCCAGCCGCGACTATCGATATGCCCAAAGCCCTACGCTATTGGACGTGTGTGGGGGGAAGGGGATAAAGGGAAGAATGGCCCAGTGAATTGGGTAATTATTCCGGGGTCTGTGATGTGGGCTGACCACAAGTTACCACCCAAGATTACCTTGAGGTGTATCTAACTTACAGCCCTCTTGATAACTGCTTCTGAACCAGTTGGTCTTTGGTGTCTGGTGTTTGGGATTTAAAAATTTATGCAAGGATTATCAAGCTAGATCAATGTGTGTGATTTCCACAGGTTTCCCCAACTGAGTAGTGTGATGAATCCAGGATTCCAGGTTTGATGGCATAAATTTTGAATCTAAAAACATGAGCTCTGACTAAGACCTAAATCTCTTGAATCATGTGAAAACTATGGTCTTTTTTGCCCTAGTTCAATTGAGGAACTCCCCTTGGTAAATGGGTGCCCACATAACAGCTTTCTGGTGAGTTATCTAGAGCGAAAACTACCAGTGAGGAGTGATTGTGAACCCATTTTTGGTGGTTTTTTTGGTTTTGTTTTTGTTGTAGCTGGAATCCTTGATGTTCATTGCTTCTACCCGGCTCCTCCTCTTTTGTTCCTCATACTCCAATTGTGGAGTTTGCTCACCCGTACAACAGTTTTGCCTCATGAAAGTTCTCAAAGGGGGATCTCCATTTGAAAAGCTGTAACAGTTTGTAGCAGTTTCATTGGCTGATTTATTTGCATCAATCTTTTGAGAAGGAATCTGGTTGGAAAGCTGGTATGTGTTGGGAAAATTCATCTTAGGCAAGATGGTGTAACTTTTACAGCTCTGTAAAAAAGATGATTCCTGCTGGGCTCTGTAGGAATTACTAGGATGAATCTATCCTGAAGACACCCCATAAATTTGGTTAGTTTAAAGCAGAAAGCACCATCCATGCCAGAATATAAACTTGATAGCAAGGCTTGGAAACCAATGTTCTGAAGCTTAATCTTCCTGAGCTATGTCCCTTCAGTTAATGGACAAATGAAGATCTGAATCTTTATCCAACCAATCATGAAATTGGCTCGTTGAAGACTCCGGGAAGAAGTGAAGAAAATGTCTACATTCGGACTGCCAAAGCAAATCAATCATGTTCTGAGGCTGAATTTCATGACTTGCAGGTAGGCTCCAAGCTGTCTCAGTTGGTTAAGGAGCCACCACCAGCAACAACTTGTCAAATGACCTGATAGCTGACAACTTAGGACCAGGTTGTGCAAGGCAATCGATTGTCCACTCGGCCTTGACTCTCGGGATGAACGCAGGAGTCTTTTTTCTACTTCGTGTTGAGCACCAAAAAAAAAAAAGAAATCCAGAAACTCTGAAGTTGTACCTCCTGCTTTTGATGGATGGGATACAAACTAAGTGCGAAAAAATTCCAGAAGCTGCTTGTGTGAAAAATCTTTGCTCATGAATTGCGATTGTATGGATTGAGCTATTGCAGGAAACACTTCCGCGCCTATCTTGTCAACTAAAAACACATTAATAAGCTGATTGAGGAGCATTTACCACACATGAGACTTCACATATTTACTACATACGACTTCCAATAGTCGAAGTCAAACTTTGCATTGCAGTCGTTAGGTCATACACAGCTCAAGCAGAAAAAATAAAAGGTCGATGGGAAGTTCGTACAAGACATGAGAATTGAATGTGGAAAGGGGTCGAACATTTACGGAGGGACTTCGCCATGAGAAGTCCTTCGCAAGAAAACACTTGATAGGACAGGCAGAATCAAGTGAACAGGGACTTGCGGACCAGAAGTCCTCAACAGCAGATTCAAGAAATTTACAAATCCAAAATTTGAACCTTGATGGAACCAGATGCTGAATCAGCCGTGGTGTGGAATGCTTCGATAGCCTTGTCCAACGGAAGTCTATGGGTGACCAAGGGTTTTACATTGATCAAACCACTGGAGACCAAGGAGATGGCCTTGGGGTATTGATTGGCGTATCGAAACCTGATGTTCGAATTGAAGGGAAGCAAAATTGAAAGCAGAATCAGAATCCAGTTGAACAGCTATGGTCAGAATAAGCGCAGGTGATGGTTTTTGACAACGGAACTCACTCGAACTGCAGGTCGATTTCATTGGCGCACATGTATGCGAAGGGGAACATTTGTTCATCCTCACCGCATCCAATCACGAAAACTTTTCCACCAAACTTCACGCTCTGGATATCATTTCACCGGAAGAATTAAGGCGTTGAGAGAGAGACGATGCGAGAAGTTAACCCAATGGATCTTATTTGTTCGTCAAATGGAAGACAGCAAGGACTGGATTATTGGAGGGACTTACAAAGATCGCAGACCTAACCGAAGACTGGTATCCGGTGCATTCAAGTGCCACTCTGGGCTTCTCTCCCAGCGCAGCCTCAACTCGCTCAGCGAGTTCTCGTTCAGATTGCCCTGGCTTGATGTGAACCGTACGGACAGAGGGTACCAACTTTTTGGCAATGTCCAATCGGCTCTCGGTTCTTCCGGTGATCGCAATCGGACTAGCTCCGGCTGCGTGACATGCGAGTAGAGTGACCAATCCGATGGGACCTGTGCCGGTGATCAAGACTGGATCTCCTAACTTTACGCCGGCCCGTTCAACACCAGCCAGAGCCACGACCAAAGGCTCAAGCAATGCACCCTCCTCATAGGTTACGTTGTCTGGCAATTTGTGAACCCAACAAGCGGGGTGGGCATGGTATCGTGTCAACAAACCATGGTAGGGAGGTGTGGAGAAAAATACGACGTCTGGACAGGCGTTGTATCGACCTGTAAGGCAAGAGCCAGCGTTCAGTTGATTCAGACATGCGGATCTTCTCAGCAGTTTTCTAGTCCACAGTCGCATTTACATACCTGTTCGGCACATCTCGCATGTCGGTTTGGAACACGGCACACCCGCTTCAATGGCTACTCGATCACCTGTGATGCAAAAAAATGTTTCATCAACACAAAGTGTGCATGTTTGAACGAATTAGTGATCTTATGACGTGAGATGCCTACCAACTACAACGTTCGTGACACCCTCACCGACGGCGATAACTTCTCCGGCGGATTCGTGACCTGCGCCGCACTGAAGTACGTCGGGTTAGAGAAAAAGAGAAAACCAGAGTAAATCAACGATTTTGTTTCATACAAGTGAAGAAGAAAGTGCATACCACATGCTTCACCACCTGCTCTCCTATCTGGAAAAAGAAAAATGATCATGTCAGAACCACATTTTTTTTTTCATGCTCTCAGGCGCTAGTAAGAACTAACTCTCGAATGTTTCCAGAAGTGCACATCACTACCGCAAATACCAGTTGCGCGGATGTGTAATAAAACCTGACCAGGATGAAGTTTAGGCATCGGCTTCTTCACCATAAGAATCTGTTTTTGGGCATCAAGACAAATAACTTCAGTCAGACATGAGAATTAATGATGAAGATGAATGAAGAAAAAATGAGGGTTAGAATGTAGGGGAAAAAAACTAGCCTGTTGCTTGTCATTGTAACAGCAAGCAATGTTCTTCTTTGCATCGGAGTACTCTTGCACCTTTGCAGGGTCATTCAAGATTTCGAACTCCTCCGACTCTAAGACTTCCTTAGGGTCATACAAGGCCTTGTTGATTGAGCTGAAGATGGGGTCGATTGGTGCTTGGTTCATTTTGCTTGGACTTTCTTCGTTAGATTGATGCTACCGACTACTTTTCCTAGATGAGTGAAAAAGGTGTTGGGATGTGCTAGGTGATTGCAAGAAGGGGAGTTTCTCTTGGACTTTGGGAGTATGCGTTCTGGGGATAGTGGTGGTACAACAAATGATGGCGGAGGAAAGGCTTTCTATTTATAAGGAGGGGGGAAGGGGCATGTAGGATTTAATGACGTAGTGAGGGTAAGAAGATGCACCTTAGAGCTTATTTGGGTGGCACATCTGAATTTCCATCCACTCATTTCCCTCATTTTCTCAAGTTGCTGGGAACACGCCCTGATACGCCTCGGCCGGGATAAACCGAAGGCCGGCCGTCACGGGCCGTCACCTGTCGTCACGCAATGAGTCCGGTGACAGAGGACTGGCCTCATGTCAAAAGAATCAATGCCTCGTACATTTCTATGAACGTGCGTAGTAATGCATAGTTCACTGCTAATCCTTCCGACTCACGAGTCGCAACAGGGCACAAGAGCTCACAACAATGAGCAACGATGAGGATAAACGAACGATCAAAAGTCCTATGTAGAAGATCAGGCAACAGGCCAGAAATCCACTGGCATCTCTGCCCCTGCAGGCGCTTCCGGGTTGCAGCACATTCGAGATGGTGGGAGAAACATTCCATTTGTATAGTGCAATTGATATGCATCGCCGCCTGAATCCCCCTTTGCCCTTCGGGAATTCCAGACTTCCAGCGCGCCCAGATAGGAGGCGCAGGTCCTGTTTCCCCGTCGTCCGATCAGGTTCGGAGCTTGCAACGGTGTCTTCGTCACAGCCCCTAGGCTGAATTGAGCCTGCGGGTGGGATGTAGGCTGTAGCAGAGGTGGCTGGAGGACAGCTTATTGTTTAACCCAGAGATAAAGATCATCCGAGGCGACTTCATCACAGGCTTGCGAAGTTGCTGCATCAAGACCTCCGCGTCTTCAAGAAGAGCGCCCCAGCGGAAAAACCCCTGCCCAACGATCGGTCAGAGGGATAGATCAAACCCAGACTAGGGTTAAATCAGCTCCCAATGTGGCTGGCCAGTCGCCTGTGACCCACCGGTGCTGGGACCTGGGGTTGACCCCGAAGATTCGAACACATTGGTAGGACGAAGACCATCGCGGGTGCATGGCGAGGGCAAATCACATACTGCAATGAACTTGGTTTCTTTCAATTTAAACAAGTTCAAGTCACACAGCGCAGTCACGATGAGAAAACGTTTTCCGTTTCATACGACGGGTCATTGCCTTAGTCTATGCCATACATGCTTCCGTTCAATACCAATTCGAGTGTCTGCTGGGTCAATTTCCGACCCCTTGGCGGATCCTTGTACCAAGAAAGATAACTATTTTCAAACACAGAAAATCGGGGCTGCCCCGCTCAGGACACTCTCAGAAACCAAATTTGTTGGACTCGGGGGGGGGGGGGGCAGGGAAAGTGCCTATTGGCCTAGAAATCAAATTATTTCACCAAAGATAAGGTCCGGCTGTACTAAATTCAGAGCAGGAAACAATCTTATTGATTAGTCAGGTGACAAGATTATAGGTGTGGAGCTGAAACGGGTATCAAAATAATCAAAATGGAAACTAATGACAGGTACAAGAGTCGCCTGATACATAAATTCTCAGCAGCTTCGGACCACACAATTTACACACTTATTTTCCATGGTAGCTGAGCCCCTCATGACCAGATGCAGGCATATGAAAAGTGCTGATCCGTCAAAGATTCCCATTCTGAGGGCAAGGTCTTATGATATGAATGATTTGAGCCACAAGATGAGAAAATGTACTGGAGGACTTCCCATTGTCTAAATTTGTAAATTTACAAGGAAGGGCTAAATTTGACCTTGCAATTTCACCAGCAAACAAAGTTTACCCAGTCCGTCTAAATTAAGCCATCTAGTTGATAGGAAGTCCTTCACTGACCTGTTAAGTTATGGATTAGGTTTGGGAAGCCCGCTAGCTCAAATGTATTGAATTCCCATAATTAGGGATAACTAGAAACTGCACTATTTTTAATTGTGTTTAAAAATAAATTCTGAAGTTGTGACCAAAGGCAGATCAACTTGACTATAGACCAGAATGGATTTGGGTGCTGTTCTTTTGGCTTTGAACTAGCCTACTCAAAATTTTTCTTCCATTTTCCAGTTGTTTCCTTTTTTGCAACCTGGGAAAGAAATCATTTATATGTCAAGATGGCAAAAACTGGTGTAATTTTTAACTTGGTTGGTTTGGAATTTTTAATGACACTATGACACTGTGTTTGAACTTTGATATTGAAAACAAAATCTCAAGCAGGGAGACTGGCTTGATATCCAGACCACCAGCATATTCCAACAGATACCCAAATCAGACAAACCTATCAATGGTCCATGTAGATCTTGGCCAATGGCTTGCTGTAGCAATTACCAACTCACTAAATTTACTTCTTGCCTGATCCTGGGGCTGGTTTTATTCCAGTAAAAGCTGTGCCACTGGTGGGCCATCTATGCAAACTGTAGCGTTAATGTGGTGTAGCGTAGCAAAAATATGCTAATTTTTGGCGTAGTGTTAGCGCAAATCCACATTTCTGCGCTAACACTACGTGCAAAGGGCACAAGAGTGCATTAACTATTAGCATAGCTAACACTACGCACTCAGGGCACAAAAAAGTGCCAGCTAAGCTGTGTTGCAGCACTTTTTAGTGGATTTTTGGCCTTTTTCACGACTAAGCGCTGTAGCGTAGTGTAACGCAGCGTAGCGCTGGTAGCGGCGCACTAACACTACAAAACAAAACAAATTACGCTGTTAGCGCCGCTACAAATTAGTGTGGTGTAGTGATGATAGCGGTGTGCTAACACTACACAAAAAAGGGCCACTTTTAGCGCCACTAAGCTAACACTAAGTGGCCCCGTAGAATAGTGCAGCGTAGCAGCCCACCACTGGATGTGCAGAATAATGAGTTGTCTAATATTTTCAAGATGGTCCTTCACAAAAATTGTATTGCTTGGTAAATTTATAAGGTGATCAATCATTTGGTACCAAACATTCTCACACTGAAGGAGATAAGCAAGAATGGATTTTTTTTCAAGGCATGAAGGTGATGCAGTATTTGAATCAGGAAAAACATGAGAAAATAAGGACCACTCACACTTTTTGACTTACTCAAATTTTGGACAGAGAATTTCCATAAAGCTTTATTTTAGTATTTCTGCCACAAAAATTTGAAAAATGTATGGGCAAAAAATGAGGTTGAAAAAACAATGAAAAATTTTTCAGAGGAAATTGGGTTGTTTTAAGAACCTATTTCAATGTGACTGCTATGAGGTGGGCTGATTATGGTTTCAAACCAGTGGTTTTGGCTTTCAAGCTGGATTTTCACAATACATTTGCTATAGAGATGGGCGGGGATAATCCGTTGCGGATATCCGCTATCCGCTGGCGGATATCCGCCAGGGCCAGGGGATGCGGATGTCCTTTCCCCCCCCAAATCCCGGCGGATATCCGGGTATCCCCTGGGATACCCGAGACCAATGGCCGGCTGGAAGGGTTTCCTTCCAGCCGGCAAGGTCCTTCCAGCCGGCAAGGTACATGCCTCGCCGGCTGGAAGGCAACCTTTCCAGCCGGCGAGGATGTGCCTCACCGGCCATTTAGAGGGCGGGTATCCGAGGATATCCGCTTGGATACCCGCTAAGGCGGGAGGATATCCGCCAGGGGATGCGGATGCGGGTGCGGATGCCGCTTTCCCCGGAAAAAGCAACCGGATATCCGCATCCGCGCGGATATCCGCATCCGCGCGGATATCCGGATGCAACACGACCATCTCTAATTTGCTATTTTGGGACAAGGATATAAAAGCTATCCACTGCACTTCAAGTTCCTTTAGCTCCTATTCCAGAGTCAATCTATTCCTCAAATGGAATCTTGGCATGACTTTCATGAGTATGAAATGAGGGCTACACTACAGGAGATTTATTGAAATATGTTTGCAAAATTGTATTGGAAATGCTTTGAGGCTTGCGGCTTTGGGAGATGGAAGTCGCAAACATTGGTCCTGGTGAAATAAAAAATGACTTATAAAAGGTATTTCAATGATATTTCAAGAAGATACTTTCAAAATCATGTAATTCTGTAGTTTCAAAATTCTTCTTAATCTCTACTTCAGAATGATTCAAAAATAGTTTTGAAGTGGAAACCTGTTCCCATATCAATTTGAAATTTTGAGTTCTTTTTGGACTTCTGGGTTCTATAAATATGAAATGCCACCTCTTGGTCTCACTCAGTTTGCCATATTTTGTATCCTCCCATTGGATTTATGCCAAAAATTCAAGATTTTGTACTTTCAGAATGAAGAAAAAGTGATCAAGAGTTCAAAAGCAATGAACAAAACATAATGAAAGCTTGAAAATCCAAAGCCTATCCACAAAGGCAAATGAAAGAGGAAAAATAAAGACAATTTAACATTGGATGGCATGGCTTTTCCCCTTCCAATCTAAGAGAGATGTCAGGGATGGAAGGGTTTGGAGGAGGCAAGTGTGCACTTAACTTTGGGGCCAGATGCAACTCACCAAATAGAATGATGAAATAGAGAGGTGTTTGGAGTATAAGATTAAGTTAAATAATAACAAAAATATTGAATTTTTATAATTTGAATTATTGGGAACAAGGCTAATGAACAAAGAAGTGAATGAGAAATGGACACCCTGGTGGGACTGCAGGGGAATGATTTGATCTGGTATTCTTCAAGGCCTTTCCCATGCCCTCCAACAGAAGAATTTACAAAAATAAAGTTGGTTGTAATGCTTTGATCCAGCATATATACATTTAAAGGAAATGTGTCAGATCAAAATCCAAAGAGACACTTTTGAAATTGTTTATTTGCAAAAATTGCCAATTCCATAGAATGTTGAGTTTTTTTATCAAGCAAAAACTTACAGTACCCCTGTAGTGTACCAGACCATTCTGAATCCATCATATATATCATCTGAATTTATCACAGCTGGCTTAAACATCTGAATAGAGCCAAAAATCCAATAAAGGTAAAACTAAACAATCTGTAGGCAACAGAGTCTGCAAGCAGGTGACAAAACTTTGATTTGTTTGTGCTGAAATTAGTTTCCAGTGTGGCCTGCAGTCACTGCAGCTAAAGCTTGCACCATGAAAAATTTTAGGGCAGCACATGTCAGGTGACATGAAGCTGACTCCTGCCTTTATTCTAGAGATGTCAGCAGGTACCTGTTTGCAGGTACCCGGTACCCGTTTGCAGGTACCTGTTTTCCAAAGCAGGTACCCGGAAACAGGTACCGGGTGCGGGTGCGGGTGTCAACATTTGCGGTAAAAAAAGGCAGGTACCCGGGTACCTGCCTTACACCCGCCCTGGGAATGCTTTCCCTGAAGAATTTCATTTATCATTGGTGGTCCAAAACTCCCTTTTTTGGGTGTGTTGGGCTGCACAAAGGTGTCAGCAACCCATGTAGGACACCAGCTGGTGTCTTACATGTGTTGCTGAACTAATCTGGTTGCTTTGTTGAGGCTGGAGGGTTCCCTCCGGCCTTTGAGATGGTGTACAGTCTTGATGACTGGAGGAATTCCTCCAGTCATAAAGACGGTGTACAGTCTTCATCAATGGACATTGAATAAGGCAAATGAGGCCAAGCAAAAGGGTAAAGCTAAAGATAGATCAGAGAGAAGATAAAATCAAATTGGTGATGGAATACTTTGTTTTCTCTATTCTTATTTTATTTATCGTACTCATATACCTAGTGATATCAATCTTATATTTACAGTCATGCAGGAATTCAAGGGTGAGATTTCTGGGTATATTGCCCGGCAAAAATGTTCCCAGGTACCTGCAGGTACCCGGCGCAGGTACCTGGGTACCCGCCCTGGCTGCCCTAGCAGGTGCGGGTGCGGGTGCGGGTGTCAAAAATATTGGATTTTTGAGGCAGGTACCCGCACCCGCTACAGGTACCCGGGTATCGAGCGACATCTCTACTTTATTCCAGTGTTAGTTCAAAGTCAAAGGGTTGGGAATCCCTGATGACCACAAAGGGCCCATTATTATTTGAGCAGACAGCCACCAGAGTAACAGTGGAGTTGTAAAATATGTCACTTCGTGTCACCTGACACCTACTTCCCTCAGACAGTTCCTGGTGTTGCACATTAATGGGCAAGAGATAGTGAGCACAACAAAATTCCCATTTTCTCACCTGCCAGCTCACATATCATTTTCAAATAGGTCACCCAACTCTGCCTGGCCTTCAGTTTTTAATGGAAGATAATGGCACCATTTCCCTCTGTGCTTTGGGACCAAGGGATCCAGTTGCCAAAAATAATGAAAAAATGTGTTGTGTGGTCATCCATTTAGCGCTCTAATCATTCCTGTGGTACTCGTGTCCAAGATGCGCCACAGGGAATCTCTTTGGACAGACATGGAACAAAGTCCTCCAGCTGCCCAGAGTGTGGGTGGTAACTAAATTTTTGCTTATAATTCTCAGAAATTATTAGGGACCACAGGAAAAATCAATATGTTGAAATAAAACCAATTTTATTTACTTAAAATTTTGGTTATATGCAAATTCTTATTCCCATAGGAAAGAGACAGGTTTTTAGGAACAAAGACACCAAGACACCAACCAAAAATCATATCTACCAGCTTTGAAGGGTGGGTGGGAGGTTGCGAATTTTTTTTAAATAATAATGTGGAATAAAAGGTAGAGTTCAGGGTTTGAGTATCGGGATGGGAGTTAAGATTGGGTTTCAGATGAGGGCAGAATGTGGCGGATCAAGGTGAAACAGTCTTGATAAACCAAAAACCCTCTCAGAAACAAAATATTTCTGTTCTGCTTTGGACTGGACCAGGACTACTTTGAGTCCACCTCAAAACAATCTTAACTGCGCACATGGACCCCAGCACCTTCCCCTAGTACCTTGATCAGGTGCCATACAATACTCAATCTTCATCCCTGACAACTTTTACACTAGAAATGACACTTTGCACCCAGATCCCTGCGGCAGGTGTGGGTACCTGCCTTGAATTTGCATTCAAGGTGACCCTAGTGGGCACGGGTTTCAGGGGCCCACCAACAGTCACCATCAGCCACTTGAAGGCTGTTTCAAACATGATTTATGTCCAGGTACCTGTGGGGGGTCCAGTCGGATACCTGCCTTGAATTCCACTCAACTTAGACGCTGGCACCCACTGGCAGGTGGTAGCTTTCCTACACTAGCAGGTAACTGAAATCATCCCTATTTAACTGTACACCCTTTCCTGTTTGTTGTAACTTGTCCAATACAAAAACCATTTATTTTGAGTTGGTGAGCCAAATCCAGTGGGAAATCAATTAGGTTCTCCCTCTTCAAATGATTGGCAAAGCTTAATTGCCTGCTTACGTAAGACTTTCCAACTGCTGTGGCCAAGTAGGTCTCTTCTGTCACAAAGGGGCTTTCCACAACCCAAGTTGGACATCAGTCCATGGGTCTGGTGGACATGCCTTTGGAAGTCAAAAATCCAAAGTCTGAGAGTTGTTTAATCAAGGTCCAGGATTTAGAGCATTAATGTGTATATCAAAAAAATTAAGATCAACTTTTTGTATGTGATGTAGGATTGTGATTGCTGTAATAACACATACATGAGGATTAATGTCTGAGATGGCTTGCTTGTGTTTAACTTCTGATTATGCTCAGACCTTTGGTATAGATTGGCAAGCTAGGAGGAGAAAGGTTTGTGTTGAGGAACTAGAGGGATTTGTTTGAGAAGAAGTTGCAAGGGATGATTGAGGGATGGCTATGTAGTGATGCAGAAAAGGAGATCTTGCTGTGGATACATGCATAAGAAATTTAAGTGGTTTTTTACTGTCACTGAAGGATGAGTTTGCTCACGTAGGAAATGCTCCCCCCATTGATGTTTGAGACACCTGGTTGCTGATGAGATGATGGGGGGCTAAATTGCAAGTGCATACACGTTGAGGGTGCTGTACAAATTGTGGCTGCGATGACGACGACTTGAACTTCCACGTGAACAAGCCTAGAGATAAAGACTGAAGTTGCAAGTTGAGTGTATGTGCTACTAGTACTGCTCCCATCCAACTATCACCCAGCCATCCACCAACTGAAGCAGAGATGTTTGAATTCTTGCAGCAGAATACCATCCCCTACCAGTCCATCATCCTTGCCCTCTCTGGTGGCGTATTCGCATTCGAGCAGTATCTCAAGTAAAGTCCTTTCCTCACTCATCTATTGATTTCTTACTATTGATTGAGATTAATCAACCTTAACTTGGCCATCTTCCTCTAGTATCCGTCAACTGCCCCATCTTAAGCTCAAAGTACCCCCACCTTCTATTGCCCCTTATCTCGTCGCTGCCGATGGACCCAAGACTGAGGCCGACAAGAAGGACACCCCGAAAGGAGAGGATGGGGCGCCCACCGAGAAGCCTTCGACGCAGGAGACGTTCATGAAATCGCAGGCGTATGCACTCGACAAAGTCAAGTTTTCGATGATCGCCGGCGTCATCGACCAAGTTGAAACCTGGGCACTACTCTCCCCATTTGTGGCGGTATACTTCGGATCAGATGGTGCCAAGCCGGCCAGTGGGATCGCCAGTCTGTGGCATCTGGCCATCGACCTCTGCCAACGATGGTCCCGTCTTGCCCCGGCTTTCCTCAACATCGGCACCGGAGAGATCGCTACCTCCCTGTTCTTCGTCAGTCTGCTCTCGCTCACCGGAATGATCACCTCCATCCCTTCAAGCCTCTACAAGACCTTCGTCTTGGAAGAGAAACACGGCTTCAACAAACAGACCCTTGGCCTCTGGATCACCGATTACATCAAGACTACCATCTTATCTGCCGTCTTCGGCTTGCCCCTCATTGCGGCCTTTCTCTGGATCGTTCGATGGGCTGGCGAAGCCTTCGTACAATATGTAATGATGCTTGTGTAAGCTCACTTTCTTTGCTCTTCCCTCCACTTCTTTAACCCGCCGAGTATTCACTTTTTCTCGTTCTGAAGGATGGGTCTAGTCTTGTTCATGTGTCAGTAGCTCTATCACATTTAGTCTAGTCTTTAGTCCGTTTTCACTGATAAAGCTTCTTGGCCCCATTCAGACGTTGGATATCCGTATCTGATTGCGCCGTTGTTCAATAAGTTCCGACACTTGAGCGAGTTCCCGGAGTATGAAGAAGTCAAGACCCGCACTGAGGCTTTGGCGAAACGGGTCCGTTCCCTCATCCTACAGCTTCCACAACCTGCACAAACACACACGCACAAGATGCTTGACTAACCATGCATTATTGGTTGTGTCCGCCCTTTTCAGATTAACTTCCCGCTTGGAAGACTCTGGGTCATCGATGGATCCAAGAGAAGTGCTCATTCTAATGCGTTCTTCTTTGGCTTACCAGGGCTCACTAAACAGTTGCGTTGAACTTGCCATGTCTGCTTAAATCAAAAGAAGCCCACTGACGCTTCGCTCTCATGTGTCCTTTCACACTTAGCATCGTCCTTTATGATACACTGTTGAAGCAGAGTACAGCCGCAGAAGTTGAAGCCGTACTTGGTCCGTACCCACTCTCCTTAGACAAGTTTTCCCAAGCCAAACGATAACTAATTTGTTTTTGCGTGCTCTCTTGATTTCACTGGCACACAGCCCATGAGCTTGGCCACTGGAAGCTGAACCACACGGTCCTACTGCTGGGCTCGTCGCAGATCCAGATTGGCTTGAGTCTATCGACGTTCCGGTTCTTCATCTGGAATGCGGCGCTATTCTACTCCTTCGGGGTCCCGGCGCTGGCCGGAGGGGCGGACAAGTACCCGCTGATCATCGGCTTCATCCTTGCCCAGAGCTTGTTCACCCCCTTGAACTCGCTCCTCTCCTTCACCTCCAACGCCCTCAGTCGCAAGCTCGAGTTCCAGGCCGACCAGTTCGCCGCCGACCTTGGTGGCGATTACGCTAAAGACCTCAAATGGGCGCTTGTCCGTATCAGCGCTGAGAATAAAGCTACTACCAGCTGTGATTGGCTTTACTCTGCTTTCCATCGTACGTTGTTACCTCTTCTCTCTGTCTCTCTCTTTCATCATGTTGTCAAATTTATGGAAAGTAGACCAGTTTGCTCATTTTATCTGCTTCATCGACTTCTCGCCTCTAGATTCACATCCTACCCTACCTGAAAGACTTGGCAGATTAAGCACACTCACAAATAAGAAGAAGTAACAGCTGTCATGTGACTTAGCTCGATTGAGCAAATCAATCCAACCAAAAAATAGACAGCACTATGTAGTGGCAATCTATACCCCGCAGCTCACCAAATCGTAAATTTTGTCGGCCTTTCTTACCCCCTTTTTTACTACTATTTGGCCTGTTTTTTTTTCTCATTTCCATGTGTGTTAGTGCTTCCATCCATCATAGAGCGGTTTGTTTCCACTTTACATACTTCTGTTTCCCATTAAATTCTCCGCTTCAAAAAGAAAAAGAAAGAAACTTGTTTTTGTTGATGAGATGAGCGGGTTTTTTTTTTGTGTGTGATCCTGTTCTTGGAACCCTTGGCCTGAGCAAAATCCAAGGTGAGTGGAAAGTCTACCATCTGGGACAGTGGAGCTTCAACAGAATTGAGAAAGGTGTTGTCAAATAATGGCTGTTCATATCTGATACATCACATGGAAGAGTTGGCCAAGGTCCTGTTGAGTCCTTGTAAGGGTATCTGTGGTATTTGGGTCATGTGCAGTTTAGGGTGTTGCAACTCAATTTAGTTTGAAGGGGGGGGGGGGTGATTGATCTGAGTTGAAGAGAAAAAAACATCCGGTCAGAATCAGAAGGGGAATATCTCATCCCCCCCAGAATAAAAGTCAAAAAATCAAAAACATAACCCCCCATCTTGTCCAGCTAGAACTCTACGCAAGATCAACAGCTGACAACTTGCACAACAATTCTCACTTGGTGGTAGACAGCAAGTTTGACCACTGTTCATTAATTGAATATGCAGGTGGAGATTGGAAGGACCAAAATGTGCTAGGGAAATGTTTATGATCAAGATGGGTCAAGTGGTTAAGTGTGATCCAGAAGATGCATAAGGGAAAGGATGAAGAATTATGAGAAACAAATGGGTTGGAGCCTAGGCAATAAGTCCCTCCTTTGAATTTTCCCTGTGGAATTCCCCTCTCCTCCTAACATATAGAGGCCTAAATGGGGTTAGACTCTAGCTACCTATCCACCAAATATTCTTCATGTGTCCAATAACAGACTACTCCAAAATCTCCAACACATTTTCCTTCCAGAATTCCCCCCACTACCCAAATCCTGCCTGAAATTGTTTTGAACCAGTTTGTCTGACTCTGACGAGAAGCGCTGATGATGGTGTTTGTTAAGAAGATCTATAAAAATTAAATCACAAGCAGAAATTCCACATATTTTATCCAGATAATCTTGTGACTCTGAGTGTGAGATCTTATATCTGACAATTTGGTGGATGGATTTTCCTCTTCACAAAGACAATCATTTGTTCACAATAGATGGTATTTTTTTGGTGGGGGGGGGGTTGTTTATAGAAAGCTGAGCCTTTCTTGGATTTTTCACACCCAATGCAATTGGTGAAAAAAACAAAATATGTACAAATATGATTTTCAATGTTCATGCAACCTGTTCATACATGACCAGATATTTACTTCCTTGGATTTTGAAGAAATGTAATCAATCCTAAAACAGTCCCCAGCCCTTCATCAGACTGGTAATCATACTCAGTCGATCAGTGCAAATTTCAAAAAAATAAAACTGATTTCACAAGCAGCTATAGCCCTTCAACTCCTTGCAGAAGTTCAAGGGTCTACAGTTTTTTTATCAAGACAAAGAAATGCTGATATGAGATCATTTCACTACAAACAATACCAGTTTTGCCCCAGGAAAAAATGACAATTTTGGTGGTGGAAAATAGATCAATTTCCCTGAGGCTTTTTTACAAAATCACTCAGGGAGAAAAATTAGGCTAAAATGAGCTATCTCAGCCCAAAGATAAAAATGCTTCAAACGTTCCAAAATTGATACATCTCACATTTGCTATGGAAAACCACAAAATCCCAAACCTCTATGTAATCATGTGCCCTCATGTTTATCTGTGATACACCTCCATAATCTCATGAGTGAAAAAAAAAAATCATTCCAAGTTCCCAATGGCAAAACCCCAGCATCTACTGACAATGAATATCTCATCTTGACTATGTTACAAAACCATAAACCCCCAAAAAAAAAAGAAAGGAAGGAGCTACGGATGCAGGCTAGAATCCGTGACCTGACAGGATCAAGCAAATTTATTGTGGGGGGAACAACAAGACGTAGAACTGGAGTGTGGTGCATAGCATTTTTTTTTCTTTTTTTTTTTTTTCTTTTTTTTTTTTTCGGAATCAAAGCCAAGCAAACCTAGTGGTGGTTGTGTGCACCAATTCGTGAAGCCGAGTTGAAGATTGACCATCCGAGGATTTAGTATGTTATCCTAGTTGAATTCTTCTTGACGCGAAATTCGATCGCTGAGTGAGAAAACGTCTCAGTGTGGATCACGCGTTGATCTTGAGAACCAGAGAAGCAAATCTCCTCAGTACATGCGATTTCGGAGCTGGCCACCACCCACTGTAACAGAAAACGTCCCATTCAGCATCAACAATCATCAGCTTGGTTCATGCATCATCATTGTACAAGCCGATAACTGAAAAGCTAAGTTCTACTGACGAGTTTTAATCGGCTCGATTTCGCTCACTGC